CAGGAGGTACAAGATGAAAGAGAGTTAATGCCACATGATAGAGTGTAGATATATAGTAATGGGTTAATTTACGTTGTAAGAGTTAGCTAGTAACAAACCTGAACTATTGGCCGAGCATTTACAATTAATAGTAAGTCTCTGAATGGTTATTTGGGCTTCAGTTGGTGGAGCAGTGCTGACCATGACAAAACACTCCATAGCTAATCTTAGTTGTCAACTTGACTACATCTGGAACCAACTAAATTCTAAACAGATGATACACCTGTGAGGGATTTTCTTGACTGGATAATTTTAGTTGGAAAGACTCATCCTAAATCTGGATCGCACCTTCTGGTGGCATAAACATATCAACTGGTTATTCAATCCCAAATGGTCATCCCTGAAAAGATATACATACAAATAACATTATACAGAATGAGCAGGTTGTAGTTCTGTATGTAGGAATATGGAAATATATATACACAGGCATATACATGTGTAACAATTAAAGAAGCAAGGGCGAGTGCATGGGAGGAGGGGTTGGAGGGAGGAAGAAAAGAGGGGAAATTATGTAATTATTATAGATTCATCAAAAAGTTAATATGAAATGAAAAAAAGACCATGAAGAAGAAAGCTTTTGGTTTTTGCCGGCTTGCCCTCTCTCTCACTGGCAAGTTTATCTGTCCTTCACTGGTATTAGAATCAGGAATTAGTTTTGGGGGACATTCTAGTGTTGATTGAAGACCAGTAGTTCTCTAAGAATCCTCCAGGACTTCAGCACCAGATTGGGACTGGTAAAACACCCAACCACGTGGACTAAACAGAGATTTTCAAACTTTCCTTTGTGAGACAGTCAATGTTGGGCTACCAGGACCACAGACAATAAGCTGTTCTAATATATCACACTCATGTGTACACACACACACACACACACACACACACACACACACGAGATCATCAATGTTGAACTACCAGGACCACAGACTATAAGCCTCTCTAATAGATCACACTCATGTACACACACACACACACACACACACACTGTACTCATTCTTTAGTTCTGTTTCTTTAGAGAACCCTGCCTAATATGGTGAGTCTGAGGCCAGCACAGGCTTTATGAGACCCTATCTCATAAACAAATACCAGAGACCATGAATCTTTAGAGATGGTTCAGGGAGTAAAGTGTTTGCTACACAAGGACAAGAACCTGAGTTCAGACCACCAGCATGACATTGTACTCATGTGACTCAGAGGCAGGCAAGACAGGAAAATGTCTGGAGCCTGCTGGCCAGCCAGTCTAGACAAAACAATGAGATGTAGGTTCACTGAGAGACATTTTCTCCAAAAATAAGGTAGGGGTTATCAAGATTGCTTGGCAGGTAAAGACACCTGCTGTCAACTCTGGCCACCTGGGTCTGCGCCCCAGGACCTATAAGTTGTATGTAAACTATATACATATCATGATACATGTGTACCTCAACACACATAATACACATAAATAAATATATGCAATTAAAAATTAAAGTGGAAAGCAATATTTGACCTATGTTGACTTTAGAAAACACTCAAGTACCAGAGACCAAGTGATTTGTAAAGAACGGAATCTTAAGCCAGGCATGGTGGTATGTGTCTCTCATCTTGGCACTTGAAAGGAAGGTCCAGGCAGAAGACCATCCCAAGGTCAAGTTCTCAGCACAAATATTTATTTGCCCCAGAAGGACAGAGAGCAGGGAATAAGAGACAAAGGCAGGAGACAGAGAATGAGGGAGAAGGGGAAGGAAACAAGGAAGAGGGGGCAGGGGTGTTTGTCCCAGGGGACAAAGGACTGCCTTTGGATTGACAGGAGACAGATATGGCCCTTAGGAAAACAGCAGTTTATAAAGGTACAAGGGGAAAACCTGTGCGAGGATAAGGTGTTTAGTTTTAATTGGGTATGTTAATTAGGATACTCAAAGGGGTTTCTGATTGTTGGACTTCAATATTTTAATAGCTGGACCTTGGTGGTTAACCTCAGGAGGAGAAAGTGGCCAAATGAGGGAATAGACCTTGGGGGCTAGCTGTAGGAATGTAATCTAATAGTTTTTTAGCAAGGCAAAGGGAATGGGGGAAAGGGGCAAGGCCTGCCAAAGCCATGTTTGCCTCGCTTGAGCTGGTCAGAGTCCCTTAATGAGTTCAAAGCATCTTCGTAGGGAAGCTAATGTTTGGTGACAAAAAACAATGTGTATGAATGTGTCTGATAAAGGATCCAGACATGGTGGCCCCTGTCTGCAATCCTGGCACTCACAAAGCTGAAGCAGATGGATCACCTCAAGTCAACAGCTAGCCTGAGTCACACAGTAAGATCCTGAAAAGAAAATCAAGCCAGGGGTAGCGGCGCACGCCTTGAATCCCAGCACTCAGGAGGCAGAAGCAGGTGGCTCTCTGTGAGTTCAAGGTCAGCCTGGTCTACAAAGTGAGTTTCAGAACAGCCAGGGCAGAGAAGCTCTGTCTTGAAAAACTAAAAATAAAAAATAAAAATAAAATGAAACAAAAAAGAGAACGAAAAGAAAAGAAAGGAAATTAAGTAGACAAAAAGTGTAGGGTCCTAGCAGGCACAGGGTGGCGCTGGAATGTCCAAATAAGAGCCTGATATTGTGATAGGCTTCAGCAGAAGTTTGGTGGAGATCAGAAACAATGGTAAGAAACGGGAATTCAAGATGCTGAGATTGTGCTGAGGCGATGGCTCAGTCGATAAAATTGCACACAAAAACATCTAAGTTTTATCCTTAGAAACTGGAAGATCCCTGGGGCTTACTGTCCAGTAGGCCCAGCCTAGCTGGTCAGTTCTGGTCCAGTGAGAAATCCTCTGTTCAGATACAAGATGACTCCTGAGGTTGCCCCAGCCTCTATACACACACACACACACACACACGCACACACGCACATATGCACACATGTATGCATGCGCACACACTCATGCACACGTACACACATACACCTCCCTACATATGGGACCTCTCCAGGTTTGCTTTATTCCTATACTAAACAACACAATCAAAAGTAACAGTGGGGGGGAAGGGTTTAACTGAAATAAAATGAGATATAATATACTAAAGTTTAAATCGGGCCTATCAAATTGAAACCACTCAACAATGCTTCAAACTGTTTTGGTTTTTGCTTTTGTTTTTCAATACAGCATTTCTCTGTTTAACCCTGGCTGTCCTGAAACTTGCTGTGTAGACCAGGCTGGCCTTGAACTCAGAGATCTGCCTGCCACTGATGCCTGAGAGGTTAAAGTTGTACACCACTACCACCTGGCACCACTTCAGATTGTTTATAAGTATTTAGCTGGAGGCTTCACCCCACTCCTGGCATAAGCTTCCTCCCCTGGGAGTTGCCTTAGTCCAAACTCCACCTCTGAGAAAGCCCGCCAACTGGTAACCCCTCCCCAGGGAAGGTCAAGACCACTCCCACAGGCTATTTAAACTGCCCCCCCCAGAATAAACACGTGGTCTCCCAGTTTTGTGTGCTCTCCCCTCCTCTCTCTTTGCCTCTCCACGTTTTCCCATGGTCACCCAGGAGTATTGTCATCCATTAAATATGGGTATCTTTTAATTGGGTCTGATTTGGTTTGACTGGGATTGTTTGTGTCAGCAGAGAGGTTTGTTTGTTTGTTTGCTACATTCTAGAATTGCTATGATGCTGCATGGTCAGCGCATTTAGCTTTGGGGATTACCCTGAGAAAGCTGATGTTTTGGGGGAAGAGGAAGCTAAAACAAATTGGGTTTGCTAGCTACATAGAATTTTGCTGGGTGGAGTAACCATTTTAGATCCAAGAAACAGCTTCTGTCATATTCAAGATTATTGGTGGTGAGTTATTCCCAAAGTAGCAGTGAAATTGCCAAAAATGTCAATCAAGGAGATGCCTCCAGAGTCTGGGGGATGAAGCTCAGCAACAAGGGAGGATAAAATTCCCTAAGATCCCCCCATGTGGGTTAGATACAGGCTCAGCAGTATCTAGAGTCTGCACCTCACCAGTTCTAGAGCCTGTGCCTAGAACCCCCAGTGGGACTAGGAGTGGGCTCATCTACAGAGCACTTGTTTCCTTTGTGTGAGACCCTGAGTTCAGTCTCCAGTAACTGAGCTGGATTCTACATCTTCTCTATGCTAATGTTTTCATTCTGTCTGGGTGGAGACAGTGTCCCTAAAGATAACAACTGAGACCATCTCCTACCCTGCACACTCTTGTGTAAAGGCACATTAAACTAAAAGTCGGTATACATTTTGTGGAACTTTTCTTTTTTCCTTCTTTTTTAGGAATTTTTCCTAACTAAGTCCTTTGAAGTGGGAAGACCCACCATAACCCACATCTTTTGAGGTGAGAAGCTCCACCGTAAGTCTGGCCCACACTTTCTGGAGGCAGCCTATGTAAAGGAGGCGGAAAAGGAAGCTTGCTCTCTTTGCCTGCTTGCCCTCACTCTTGCCCGCATTCCTTCCCGGGCATTAGAACCTCCTGCTTTGGGATTCTGGCCTTATACTGAAGACCAGCTGAGACAGGCAGCCTCAGGACTGAACAACCACTGGATTCTTGGACTTGCCTTTGAACTTAGACAGCCATTGTTGAACCAGCTGGACCACAGCTTGTATGTATGTGTATGATGTATATGTATATTTTATCAGTTTTATTCCTCTAGAGAACCCTGACTAACGCACAGGTGAATTACCATACCTACAATTATCCTTGCCCCAGCAGGAAAAGGGGAGACCTCCCAGGTAAGTCTTGGGGACTCCCTGTGCCTACTATCTTCTGATCACCCCGCACACCCCAGCCCCACCTCAGGACCACCCATAACTCCATTGTAAACATGACCCTTAGGAGTTCAGTAGTTCCAGGAACCCCTTGCCTCTCTGTAACTCCTTGGAGTTGCAAGCCAGCTTCAGGCCTTCCCCCAGCCTCAGCCTCTCTCAATTCTCCCCGCCCAGGCTGAGAGGTGCAACCGCACCCTCCCCCAAACCCCTCCCGCCCTCAATTCGGAGCTAGGCACGCGGCGGCTCAGCCCTCCCAGGCTTTTGCCTTGCTGCTCCCGGGGTCCCCTTGGCTCGCGCATCTTGTCAGTTGCCTCTTCGAGCAGCACCCTCAGGTAGGGAAAGGCGGTGCCTGTGAAACAGTGACCGCCGGGAACGCGGAGGAAGGGAGGTCCAGCAGTAGCAGAGGGAGGTCGGTTGGCCGCGACGACGGAGTGGGGGATTCCTTTGTCTGCAGCCAGGCAGCCCCTGGCCCAGCCCCCTTCCCCTCTCCACTATCCACTGGGCGCGCTCTTGTAGGATGCCGGGAAACCCCGTACTCCGCAGGACCTGAGCTTCCAGTTTCTGATCTGCAGGTGAGGGCGGAGCGAAGCACCACCCTGAGGATCCCACAAGGTGCTGTGGCTTTGACAATGGTGACTGGATGTCGCTGCCCAAGTACTCTCAGGGATGCCTCTTTCCTGGGACTCCTCGTTCTTCGCTGAGGCAGTAGAGGAAGCTACAGCGAGGGGCAAGGGGGGCACATCTTCCCATCCAAGTTCCGCTTGCCTTTGAGGCAACTTAACTCATCCAAGTAATCTTGGGGACCTAACTCTCAGAGTTTGGGACTGTGGGAGGGTCCGGAGAGTTGGCCATGTTAAGCAGATCCCCTTGAAGTAAGACAAGTGTCCCTGTCCCCTTCCCCTGCCTGGTCGTGCCTCTAAGTCAGAGTGTCTCAACCTGTGGGTCGCCACCCCCTTTAATAAATCATCTCCAGAAATATTTACATTACAATTCAGAACAATAGCAAAATTACAGTTATGAAGTAGCAACGACAGTAATTCTTGGATGGGGTCATCACAACACCAGGAACTGTATTAAAGTATTAATACAGTTAATACGTTAGGAAGGTTGAGAACCACTGCTTTAAGTTAACAAAAGCTTGGGAACACCCGGTCAGACTTTCGCTTCTCCTCAAAGGCCCAGAGTTTTCATTCTGCAAACTGTTTATGGGCTATGTATCCCAGAAGGCCTTAAACTCACTATCTTCTTGCCTCTACTTTTCCACAGGGTGTTATTATATGTACGCACCACCACACCAGAGCTGGCCCCGGGGATCAAACCTAGGGTTTCATGCATTCTGGGGAAGCACTCTGCCAACTGAGTTACATCCTGGTCTCCATCCAAACCTTTTACAAAAGAAACATAACACACTGATTTTCCTACCATTTAGAAATGTATTTAGTTTCTGGGACACGGAGTGGGGCGGGACTGGGGCCGGGGAGGAAGCATGTGTGGAGGTCAGGGAACAGCTTGTGGGAATTGGTTCTCTCCCTCCACTGTGTGAGTCCATGTGAATCAAACTTAAGTCCTCAAGTGCCTTTACTGGGCTGAGCCTTCTCACCAGCCCAACCAACTCTTTTGGGAAATCGCCTTGACCTGCTCCCACACTCCTTCTTCCCGGCCAAGGAAAGAGTCAACCGTTCTGGGAGGAGGAGGTGGCTGGACCTTGCATCTTCTCACTAACCATGTGATAGTCTTGCTTTGTCCAAAGTGAACTAGATGCAAATGTTGTCAGAATGCCCAGCTGCCTCCTTTGACTTAGCCACTTATTTAAGTTTGGAATGTGTGATGTGCATGCATGTGTGGGTGCACACATGTACACATGTGTGTGGAGGTCAGAGGTCAACCTCAGGTTCTGTTCCTCAGGCGCCATCACCTTGGTTCTTGAGACAGGGTCTCTCACTGACCTGAAACTCACCAAGTAGGCTAGACTGACTAGTCAGTGAGCCACGGATCTGTCTGCCTCTTCTTCCCCAGCGCTGGAATAAGAGCAAGTCCCATGGGACTGGAGTGGATGGCTCAGGGGTTAAAGCATTTGTTGATTTCAGAGGTCCTGGGGTCAATTCCCAGCATCCATATGGAGACTTAAAATCAATTACACTCCAGTTTCAGGGGATCAAATGCCTTCTTCAGGCTCCCTTGGGCACCAGACACTTACATAGTGTGCAGGCATTTATGAAGGCAAAAATAACCACACACATAAAATAAAACAAAATATTTGAGAGAGGGAAAGAGAGAAAGAGAGAGAGAGAGAGAGAGAGAGAGAGAGAGAGAGAGAGAGAGAGAGAGAGAGGGGGAGAGAGAGAACCACCATGATGCTTGGTCGTCTTACGTGGGTTCTGGGAGGTAAAATTCAGATCAAAATTCAGGTAAAAATAAGCCCAAGCCATATTCCCAGTCTTTAACCACTGCTTCTCTCTACCCTCCTAGCCAGATTTCTGGGGGTCTCCTCAATCTTCCTTCCTCCTCTGGAATCCCCACCTACTCTTATTGATTGTTTGAGTTCTCTGTTATTCCTTGTTATCAACCCCTGTCATCTGGCCCTGCCATCTCCCTGCCCAGCTTTTGCTGGACCCCATATCCCTTCCTCACTCCAAGCTCATATTTGTCTCTCACCAAAAATATTTCAAGAGTTCTTCATTGCCCTTGATGCACAACCAAGGACCACCTTCCCTTTCTCCCACTCTGCACCCCCTTCCCCCCCCACCCTCTTCCCCAGAATCATTCTCTATAGTGGCTTCACCTGTGAAATATCATATCCTGAGGCTAGGAGATCGCTCAGTCAGTAAAACCCCTGCTTTGTAAGCTTGAAGGCGTGTGTTCGTTCGCCTAGGACCCACTTAAATATGATAGCCCTGAGCATGTGTAGACAGAAGGATCCTGGGGCTCACTCACCAACCAGCCTAGCCTACTTGGTGAACTCCACTCCAGGGAGAAGTCCAGTCTCAGAAAACCATGTGATGGCTCCTGAGAATGACAGTAGGTAGACGTTGCCTGTGGCCTCCACAGGCACATGTGTTTGCACACAGGACAAACACACTAAAAACAATCATACCTCTTCCAAAAAGTCTGCTGTGGTGGTTCCCCTGCTCTCCCAAGGCAGAACTAGTGTCTTCCCAGGCAGGCTCCTCACCACTGTCCATTCTATGGGGTGCCCCTTCACAGTGTAGTTCACTTGGCAGTTGACTCTGCTTGCTCCTTGCAGCCTCCAAAGACACATCATGACTCTGGAAGGCCCATGTTGGGCAAGGAGAGAACCTGGAGGCTTCCTTACAACCTGGGGTCCTCCAGCTCAGATTCTGCTGGCCTGGGTGGTTCTATCGTGCATGGAAAATGGTCAAGGCTACTGGGATGAGACCCTGAAATCTGCGAGTCCAGACCATGTGAGAAGGCGTGGCAGGCCTGCCATCATTTTGCAGGGGTGCGTGTATCTGGAATGCTGAAAGTACCTGGGGGTGTGGACAGGGAAGGGCTATGCTGGGGTAAGGGGACTGGTAGCTACATCACCCACTTTCTCCCAAAGGCCTAATGTCTGTGGTTCCCGCTTTCATGCCTACTGTTGCCCTGGCTGGAGAACTCTGCCTGGCAGGAATCAGTGTATTGTCCGTGAGTGTTGAAGAGTGGAGATGGAGGGTACAGGCAGGGGATGCTTGGGGGTCCTCCCAGCTACTTGTCAGCAATCCCAGCCTTGTCTACTATGAAGTTGGAACTTAGCTCAGGGCTGCTGGGTGAGCCTCACTAATGTCCCATGCTTTTGTCCTTAGACTCCACTGTGACTTGATGCATTCATTTATCTCTTTTTAAAAAATATGTATTTCGTTTATTTTGTTGGGTGGGTGAAGCATGCCATGGTGTACATGAGGGCAGTTGACAGTAGTCTGTTCTCACCTTCGATCATGTAGCTCTTGAGGATCAAAACGTCATCAGACTTGGGAGCGAGTGCCTTTACCTTCTGAATCATCTCACCCACCCTGCATTCATTTCCTTTGTCCTCCCATCTTGTCGTTTCTGTCCGGCTCTCCTGTCTTCTTGTCTGTCCCATGGTTCTTCGGGCTTCATACTGTCTTTATGTCAATCTCACACTCTCTCCCCCAACTCTAGCTTCTCCGTCTCCAGACTCTGAATCAGGGTCCTCACCACTCCAGTCTCTGTGCCCTGAAGTCAGCCCCACATCATCTCTCCTGATGATGTAGCAAAATCCTGAGCTGAGGGTCACAGCACCTGCTCAGCCTAGATAGAGACTTGGTTGGGGTTATTTGCCATTGTTCAGGGTATGAGCAGAGCTAGAGCTGGGGAAGACCAACTGGTTCACCGTGAGGCTTCTGGTGGCCTGGAAATCTTTGGAATGAGGATGACATGAGACATGTCCTTTCATAAGTCTCCCATCCTTCAGCATTCCCCCTCCATTCCTGCTCCCTTCCCTCCCAAGTGTTGGGTTGATATAGGTACACTACCACATTTTGCTGGGGAGTATTTAGTTAGTTAATTAGTACTGTGTGTGTGCATGTGAGTGTGTCGAGGCACACGTACCATGATACACCTATGGATGTCAGAGACCAATTGTGTGAAGTCAGTTCTCTTCTTCCATTCCACCTTCACTGGTGAGCTGAGGTTGGATCACCAGGCTTGTGCAGCAAGTTACTCTACCTAATGAGAAATCGCTAAGGCCATGGGTCCTGATTTTGATGCTGTACGCTCTGCCTTTCCAGCTGTCTGCAGGCATGCCTGTGGCAATGGCTTCTGCTCCCAGCCCAACCTGTGTACCTGTATGGATGGCACCCTGGCCCCCAGCTGTGGCGTAGGTAGAGGTGAGTGGTCAGTGGCCTCTTGAAGAAGTAAGAGAAGACTCTAGGCATCTGAATGCCACTAGGAGCCCAGGTTGTTTTTGTTGAAGGATAAGAGCCAAGCCAAGTAGAGGCCCTGGTCAAGCCTTCCTGGAACATCTTCCCCTTACTGTATGTTTTTCCTGATCCATAGCATCACTGGGGTGTAGCATGAGCTGCATGAATGGGGGCAGCTGCCGAGGGGAATCCTGTCTATGCCAGAAAGGCTACACGGGCACTGTGTGTGGACAACGTGAGTACCCCCATTGCTGCCCTCACTTACACATAGAATCCCAGGAAATGGATCTCATCACTTGCTCACTTTGATCAGAGATCAAAGGTGCCAGGCTCATTGTTACAGTTGCACAAGTCGGGGGGCGGGTGTTTATGCAGATGTGCATGCATGTATGTATGCCAGCATGTGTATATGTGTGCCTGTGAAGGCCAAAGATCAATGTTAGGTATCTCCATCAATTGTTCTCCACCTTATTATCAGAGGCAGAGTCTCTTATTGAACCTGGAGCTCACCTATTCAGCTAGGCTTCCTGACCAGTGAGCTTTCAGAGACCCATCTGCCTCTGGCTCCCCGGCAAGGGAATTGCAGAATACCATTGCTTGTGACTTTCCCATGGGTGCTGAGAATATCAGCTCAGATTCTCGTGTTTACACAGCAAGCACTTTACTGACCAAACCATCACCCATTAGTCAGTCTTACTCCCCCTGGTCCAGATGGCGGGATCCCTGGTTAAAGAAAGGCTACTTAGGTCCCAGCCCCCTCTGCTTCCAGGAAACCTTCAGTTGTCCTCCCCTGTCTGTCCACAGCCATCTGTGTCCACGGCTGCCGTAACGGAGGACGCTGCATTGGGCCAAACCTCTGTGCGTGTGTCTATGGATTCATGGGGCCTCAGTGTGAGAGAGGTACTGAGAAGAATTCGGGGAGGAAAATGGGCCGTGAGCAAGACATGGCTGGGTTCCAAGTGCAGACAGATGGCTGCTTCGCTCCTTCCAGGGCAGTCTGAAGACAATGGGCTTCCTTTGCTCATCCACTCTGCGTAGCAGTTATTGCTCATTGGCCCACTTCGAAAGAATTTGCGTTGGGGGTTGGGAGGCAGATGGAGAGATGGCTCAGTGATTAGGAGCACTTGCTGCCTTTCCAGAATACCTGGGTTCAATTCCCAGCACCCACCTGACAACTGTCTGTAACTCCAGTGTCAGATCAGACACCCTCACATATATGCAGGCAAGACACCAATACACGTGGAATAAAAATATTAATTAAATTAGCTCCTTTGCTTAGAAAAAAAGATTTTGTATTGGTTTGGGAATTGGAAGAAGAAAACACTGACCTTGGGATCAATTGCCATGACGAAGGGAATATAAAGGGCAGAGAGGTCATGAACCATGGAGTGAGAGAGGACTTTCTGGGGAAAGAGACCTCTCTGCTGAATCTTGAAAAGATTTTACTTTTAAATAATTTGATACATTTATTAATTTGTGTGTGTGCTGGTGCTACCATGTGTGTGGAGGTCAGAGGACAACTTGCAGGAGTCATCTCTCCTTCCACAGTGCAGGGTTTGGGGATCAAACTTAAGTCATCGGGTTTGGTGGCAGTGCGTTTGTTTCCTCCCTTAGTCGCCTCCCAAGCCAGGATCTTAACTTCTTGAGACAGGTCCCGCTGAGTCACCCGGGTAGGCTTCGATTTCATTATTCAGTCCAGGTTCACATCAAGCTTACCCTTGATCCTCCTGCCTCAACCTCTTGAATACCTAGGATCCCAGGCATGTGCCACCTTGCTCACCCGACCCTGGCTCTGAAAATGATCCACAGGGAATGGACACTTTACCAAAACCTCGCCCCACCACCACCTCGCCATCTCTCTCTGTCTCTGTTAGTAGTGACTGAGCTCAGGTCTTATTTGAGAACTAAACAGGCACTCCACTGAACCACACTTCCAGCCATAGCCCCTCACTAGGGGATTCTAGGAGGGACTCTACCCTTGAGCCACTTCCCAGCCCCTCACTGAAGAACTGTAGGACCATGCTTAACAGTTAGCCATGCCTCTAGACCTCTTTCTGCTTAATTTTTTTAAAATCATATTTACTTAGAAGATGATGAGGAAACAAATACTATGGCAAAGTATGGAGGTGAGTGGAAAGCTTGAAGAAGTTGATTCTCACCTCCCATCCTGTGGGTCTGAGATGAAACTCAGGAGGTCAGACTTGGTAGCATCCACCCTTACTGGCTCAGCCATCATCTCACCAGGTCCCCTTTCTACCTTTTATTTTTAAAATGGTTCAGTTTACTATTTTAAAGTTATGTGTGTGGGAGAATATGCAAACATGAAGGCAGGTGTCCATGGAGACCAGAAGAAGGCATCAGATCTCCTGGAGCTGGGGTTACAGCCAGGTGGTTGTGAGTTGCTTCGTATGGGTGCTAGGGATTGAAGCAAGAACAGTAGATACTTTTAATGGTTGAGGCATCTTTCCAGCCCCATGAGGAAAAGGGAAATCCTTCTTTCCTTCCTTCCTTCCTTCCTTCCTTCCTTCCTTCCTTCCTTCCTTCCTTCCTTCCTTCTTTAGAGAAGGTTCCATGTGGTGCTAAGAAGGTATATTCTTTGGTATCTGGGTAGTATAAAATTTGAGTCATAATATGTTAGTTCCTTATTTCTCTGTTAAGTTTCTGTCTGGCAGTTTTGTCCAGTGGTGAGAGTGGGATATTAAAGTCTCCCACTATTAGTGTGTGGGGTTTGATGTGTGAGTTAAGCTTTAGTAATGTTTCTTTTACATATGTGGGTGCTCTTGTATTCAGGGCACAGATGTTCAGAATTGAGACTTCATCTTGATGGATTTTCCCTGTGATGAATTTGAAGCGTCCTTCTCCATATCATTTGATTAATTTTAGTTTGAGGTCTATTTTGTTAGATATTAGGATAGCTACACCAGCTTGTTTCTTAGGTCTATTTGATTGGAAAGTCTTTTCCCAACCCTTTACTCTGAGGTAATTTCTGACTCTGAAGTTGAGGTGTCTTTCTTGTATACAGCAGAAGGATCCTGTTTTTGTATCCATTTTGTTAACCTATATCTTTTATAGGCAAAATGAGGCCTTTGATATTAAAAAATATTAATGACCAGTGACTGTTAGTTCATGTTATTTTTGGTTTTGGTGGTGGTGGTATTGTGCGTGTGTTTCCCTTCTTTGGGTTTTACTGGTGTGGGATTATCTATTGCTTTGTTTTTGTAGGTGTAGCTAACTTCATTGGGGTGGAATTTTTCTTCTAGTACTTTCTGTAGTGCTGGATTTATGGATAAGTATTGTTTAAATCTGGTTTTGTCATGTAACATCTTGTTTTCTCCCTCTATGGTGATTGAAAGCTTTGTTGGGTATAGTAGTCTGGCCTGGCATCCATGTCTCTCAGTGTCTACAGAACATCTATCCAGGACCTTCTGGCTTTCAGAGTTTCCATTGGGAAGTCGGGTGTAATTCTGTTAGATCCACCTTTATATGTTACTTGACCTTTTTCCTTTACAGCTCTTAATATTTTTTCTTTATCCTGCATGTTTAGTGTTTCGATTATTATGTGGTGAGGGGAATTCTTTTTTTGGTCCAGTCTATTTGGTGTTCTGTAAGCTTGTTGTACTTTCATAGGCATGTCCTTCTTTAGGTTGGAAAAGTTTTCTTCTATGATTATTTGGATATATTTTCTGTGCCTTTGAGCTGGACTTCTTCTCCTTCTTCTATTCCTATTATTTTTAGGTTTGGTCTTTTTATGGTGTCCCAGATTTCCTGGATATTTTGTGTTAAAAATTTGCTGAATTTAACATGTTCTTTGACTGATGGATCTGTTTCCTCTATTGTGTCATCAATGCCTAAGATTCTCTCTTCCACTTCTTGTATTCTTTTGGTTATGCTTGCATCTGTAGTTCCTGATCATTTACCCAGATTTTCCATTTCCAGAATTACCTCAGTTTGCATTTTCTTTATTGCCTCTATTCCAGTCTTCAGGTCTTGAACCATTTCTTTCACCTATTTGATTTTTTTTTCTTGGTTTTCTTTGCTTTCTTTAAGGGATTTGTTGATTTCTTCTAATTTTTTGTTTGACTTTTCCTCCATTTCTTTAAGGGAATTTTTCATTTCCTCTTTAAGGGCCTCCATCATCTTCATAAAGTTATTTTTAAGGTCATTCGTCTGCTTCATCAGCATTGAGATGTACAGGCCTTGCTGGTGTAGAAGCCCTAGTTTCTGGTGGTGCCATGTTGCTCTTTATGTTGTCAAATGTATTCTTACCCTGTTGTCTGTCCATCTCTTCCTCCAGTGGGTGCAGGTGGGGCCTGTGGCTTCAGGAGTCACTCTTCCTCCAGGTGCAGGCAAGGCCTTGCCTCTTGTGGTCACTGATGCAGCTCTGGGGTCTTCTCTCCAGGTGCAGTCATGACCAAGGCTCTGATGGTCATGGATGTGGTAGGGAATTGTTACAGGTGCGGGGGAGGCTGCTCCCAGGTCTCTGGAGCTTTGCTGGGTGGGGGTAGGGTACAGGATGTGCCTCCCGGGGGCTAGGGTCTAGAGAGCAGGGTCCTCCAGCTGGGAACCCAGAAACTCACCTCTCTGGGAACAGTCAGGGCCAAGACTCCAGTGGTCACAGAGGCAATAGGGGTGGTTGTGGGTGTAGAGAGGCTTCTCCGGGTTCTCTGGGACTTTTCAGGAATGGTTTTTATACACAGAAGCTATCAGAGTGTAGATGAAGAACCTAAAGGTGATGGACTTCGGAGGCCCTGAGATTGATTCCTATTGTGGGAGATGGCAGCCAGGAAGAAGCTATTGTTGTAGCTTGAGCTGCATAGTTTTACTGTCTCTAAAAGTAATAAAGAGGTCTGAGGAGTGACTCACTGGTGAGCACTGGCCTACCACCTCCCAGAAAGGAGCTACAGATGAGACTCAGCCTGAGGGCATCCACCTAGAATCCCCCAGTGAGGGGCTGAGGTTATTGATGGTGGTAAGGGTCAGTTTATGTTGAAATAGGAGCGGCAGGGCTGCGTCCCCGGCACCCGGCCGCCCGCATGGCTAGCTTATACCCAGAAATAATTACACGGAAACTGTATTCTTTCAAACACTGCCTGGGCCCGGCTAGTTCCAGTTTCTTATTGGCTAGCTCTTACATATTGTTCTAACCCATTTCTAATATTCTGTGTAGCCCACGAGCTGGCTTACCAGGGAGGATCTTAACCTGCGTCTGTCTGGAGCGGGAGAACCATGGCGACTCTTCACACAGCTTCTTTTTCCCAGCATTCTCCTCTGTCTACTCCGCCTACCTAATTTTCTATCCAATAAAATGGGCCAAGGCAGTTTCTTTATTAATAAGAAATCACTCCCACATCAAGTTTATAGATAAAGAGAGACTTGTCATGAATTGGAAGGTGGAGGGGCTGCAGGATATATACCTGGGTTATGGAATGATGTCTTTGGAAACACGTCAACCAAAAGAGAAAAAAATGGAATAAGGACTGTAAGAGATGAGAAGAGTGTAGGTCAGTGTGGGACAGGAAGGGAGAAGGGGGCCAGGGCAGGTGGTGGGTATCAAAGGCCCAGCCAGGAAGGCTGGGTACCAAGCTACCTCTGATGCCCTCCTTCATAAGGGGCCCGGAAAGGAGAGTGGTTGGCTTATTCTGGGAGAGGCTGTCCTTGGCTCTGTGCCAGCCCTATTATTGGAAACATCTGAAGGGTGGGAGGAGCCAAGCAGTCACAAATGGACCCTGGGCACTGCGCTTGGGAAAACTGATGCGGCTCCCTTGTACGAGGTTTGAGGGTTCAGGGACATGGTGTCATGAGAGCCAAGAGGCGATTCATCCGGGCCCGGTGTGCACTCAGATGTGAGACAGGCTTTCCTGCCAGGTATCCGTGGTCTCTGCTGGAAGGCAGGGTGAGAGAGAGCAAGTCTGAGAAGATCTGAAGATTTTCTGCTGGAGGTTATTTGTGTGAAGGTACTGAATATTTTGAAGGATCAATAGGAGTTTGTTTGGTAGAAAAGGCATCCTCTCCGAAAGGGGAAGTTGAAAGGCTCATCGGAAAGAAAAGGCCAGATGTGTTGGTATAGAGGCCTGGGCACCTGCAGAGAACAGTGGGACAGAGACAGTTCAAAGTCAGATGCCTGTGTCTGTCTGTCCACAGACTTCCAGATGGGGCCCTGCTACCCCCACGTGAGTCCTGAGGGGTGCCCGCACCAGCTGACAGGTCTTATGTGCACCAAAGCTCTCTGTTGTGCCACTGTGGGCCATGCCTGGGGACTTCCCTGCCAGCTCTGCCCTGCACAGCCACACCCCTGCCGCCGAGGCTTTACCCCAAATGTTCATACAGGAGCCTGCCAAGGTGAGTTGTGGGGTACACAAGGGAGAATGGAGCCCCTAGGTAGCCAGAGCTGAATGGAGATTCCCCCAACACATACACATACATACCACACACACATGCCACTCACACACACACACACATACACACCACACATACATACAAACCACATACACACACACACCACATACATAGACACCACAGACACATACATACCACACACACACAGGCATGCACCATGAGTTGGTTCTTCTCTCTGACTCCCTTCCTGGACTTTATTCCTGCAGATGTGGATGAGTGCCAGGTCATCTCAGGCCTGTGCCAGGGCGGCAGCTGTCTCAATACAGTGGGCTCCTTCAAGTGCCACTGTCCTGCTGGACACCAGTTCAATATCAGAGGTGCCAAATGTGAAGGTAGGGTATGTGTGTGTTACCTTGGCTCCCTGCAGAAGGGTGGAGGGATTGGGCTGATGAGGAGCCTGGCTCCGACCCTGTCTGCCTGTGCAGATCTGATTGAGTGTCTTAGCGTATCCGGGCCCTGCTCTGGGGGTGGCTGCACAAACACGTTGGGAGCTATGTGTGCGCCTATCACGAGGCTTAGTCAGAAACCTGGATGGAGCTCACTGCCTGGCTGAGATGGGCCAATGGGCGGAACTGCTGGGACACAGTGCTAAAATACCTCTCCCTCACCCAAGACCATCACTCTGGTCACCGATACAATGATCCTCTACCTCTCTGGGCCCTTGTTTCCTCCCATCTAGCAATTGTCTTCCCAGCATCTATGCTCTCACTGACTCTGCTCTGGGGGTCCTTTTGATCCTCTGTTTCTATGTCCTTTAGTGCTCTGGTCTCCCAACTCAGTCTCTTGATTCTTCTGTTCCCCATATTCCTAAAAACAAATATGTTCCCACTATGCCTGTTTGTTTCTCTGGTTCTATACCCTTTGGGATTGATGGACATGTATACCCTAATATCACACTTTATCCTTAACTTGTGTTCCCACCACACTTCCCCTACCCTCTTGTGTCATCTCCGTAACCTCCCATAGCCTCCAACTCTATGCCCCCCCAATTCCCTCTGGTATCCATCTTTTTGCCAACCTCTAATCCTCCAGTCTTGATCATTATGTCTTTCTATACCCGCTAACCTTCATCTCTGTGCCCCCAGTGATCTTCTAGTTTCAATCTCTGTTACTCCTCTGATCTGATAGCTTTCAATTTGGACCCTTTCTGACCCTTGAGTCTTTACCTTTGCTGTCTTCCTTCATTCACGTCTGTGCCCTTCTGCCCATTAGCTCCTCTGTGCCCCTAATCGCTTAAGAACTTTTCTCACTACCCCTTCATTATTTTTTTGAAAAGGAGAAACTGGGCTCAGAGAAGCAAGGCTGGCTTGGATAGACTCAACAAGTCCATAACAGAGAAATGCCTACATCCAGCTGCCCAGACCCACATGTGTTGTGTTAGGAGCAGCGGGCCGCTTCCCACCACCCGGCTAGCTTTACCAGAAATAATTACACGGAAACTGTATTCATTTAAACATTGCTTGGCCCATTAGTTCCAGCCTCTTATTGGCTAGCTCTTACATATTGATCTAACCCATTTCTAATAATCTGTGTAGCCCACGAGGTGGCTTACCAGGGAAGATCTTAACCTGTGTCTGTCTGGAGTGGGAGAATCATTGCGACTCACTGACTCAGCTTCTTTCTCCCAGAATTTTGTTCTGTCTACTCTGCCTACCTAATTTTCTGTCCTATTAGGGCCAAGCAGTTTTCTTTATTAATTAACCAATGAAAGCAACAGATAAATACAAGACCCACCTCCATCACACATAAGGTTTGAAAGTGCCCCTTGTCTGGATCTCCTATGCAGTCCCCCACACTTCAGCCAGTCAAGAGTGGTTCTACCTCACACACAGGTGTCATGAGCTTCCAAATCTAGATAATTTGGGGAGTCCACAAGGCTGCCTAGGAATATGGATGGAAATGAAAGTGGAGAATGGACAGGATTCTGTTTGCAGGAAAGAGAAGGAGGTATGGCCCATTCTCAGCATCACCTCTAACCCCTCAGGCTAGGCCTGTATAAGACAGAACTAAGAATATTGTATTGGAATTTGTCCAGTCTCCACCTCCAGGGTCCTTCATAGCCATAATAGGAGGTCTTCCGCCAGAGGACCAACATGTCCTCTGGATTTCAAGGGACTGATCCAGCTACAGAATCCAATTGTCTCTGAACATGGACTTTGATTTGGTCCTGGGTGTGTTTGTTTGGTGTGTGTGTGTGTGTGTGTGTGTGTGTGTGTGTGTGTGTTTGCCTGTGTGTATGTCTCTATATCATATGCATGTATGATGCCGGAGGAGGCCAGAAAAGTGCATTAGATCCCTTGGGACTAGAGTTACAGACAATTGTGACCCACCATGTGAATGCTGGTAACTGAACCTGGGTCCTCTGCCAAACCATCTCTCTAGCCCCTCAATCCTGAGTTTTTAGTTCTAGCTGAGCTGTTCCAAGACTATGAGATTTTACTCAACTGACTTTTTTTTTTAAAAAATCTTATTGTGCCTCAGCTTTTTCATCTATAAAATGGGAATAGTAGTCATAGCAATCTTGAATGGTTGCTTTGAGGATAGACAGTGATAGAGCTGGGGATATGGTTCAGTTGGTAGAATGTTTAGGTAGCTTGCACGAAACCCTGGGTTCCAGCTTCTGCACTATGTACAGCAGTCATAGTGGTGCACACCTGCCAATTCTAGCACTCCAAGTGGACACAGGATGATCAGAAGTTCAAGGTTACCCTTGACTACAGAATGAGTTTAAGGCCACCCTAGGGAGGCGGGAAAAGGGAGAGAGGAGAAAAAGAGAATAAGCATAGCAAGATGTAGTGAGACAGAAGTCGAAATGATTTGTAGATGACTGGTGCACAGTTTGCTCAGTACATACTTTGGATATAAGGAGTACCCTGGGGAGGTTAAGGCAAGAACTCCTGTCAGCAAGGGTGTTTAAATCATTGACAGCTGTAGTTTACATTAAAATTCTCAATCTTCGATCTCTTTTTTCCCTACCGGAGAGACAGCTGCTTGTCAGACCCCATGTGGTTAGAGAATCTGGTTCCCCACCTTCAACCAAATCTAATATCTGGGTAACCTTGAACCAGAGTGTTGTTGTCTTCTCGTCTGAACAGGTCTCTTCTGAGTAGCCCTCTCTCTCTCTCTCTCTCTCTCTCTCTCTCTCTCTCTCTCTCTCACACACACACACACACACACACACACACACACACCTGGGAAGTCCCCAGGTACACAGGGGGAAAAATTGGCATGACTTTCCAGCATAATGTCAGACAGAGCCAGCTGCCAGCAGCCCTCTCTGGTGGTGGGAGGAGTTTCTCAACCAAAGGACACCAGCTAACATTTTCGGGAACTGAACCCAAAAATAAGCCTGAGAACTCTGATCTCCATGCAAAGCCATGGGCCCAAGAGTCTGGTGAGAAACAGAGGAGTGTCTGTGTTTCTCATACCAAGGTAACTACGGGATCAGTTGCTTCCAAGGGCAGTGGCTCCTAGTGCATCCACTTGCCCCCTGGGAATGCTTCTCCATGCGGCCCTGTGATAGCCAAGGTCAGTAAGCAAGGACACATGGACATATTGCCTGAGTTTGCAACAGGTACCCCCTACCGCTAAGAAGTAAGAGGTCTTCCTCGTTGTGCTTGAAGAAGAGTTTGCTGGTGGTGGCAACGAGAGATATTGGAGCCATGGTCCAGATGAAGACCTAATTCATCTTCTATAATGATTTAGAGAGTTTTAAAATAGGAAGTACTGAGCAGGGTTTACCCACATGCTAAATTGTGTGTGTGTGTGTGTGTGTGTGTGTGTGTGTGTGTGTGTGTGTGTGTAGTGGTTTTCATGTCTGCTTTACATGCAGAAGGTCCTGGCTTTGGGCCTCAGTGGAACCACAACTTATGTTATTTATTGTGTATATTTTATTTATGTGTATGTATCTATGTGAGTGTGTGCCACCTATGTGCAGGTGCCTGCAGAACCCAGAAGAGAGCACTGGGTCCCCTAAAGCTGAAATTACAAGGGTTGTTAGCCACCCAATGTGAGTGCTGGGAACTAGACTCATTTTCTAGAAAGAAGCAAGTCTCTTAACCATGTAAGGCACCTCCTGCTTTGACTACCCCTTTCTGAAGCAGGGTCTCCCTAGCCTGCTTCAGAACTCACCACATTAGCTAGGGTGACTGACCAGGGAGGCCTAGAAATCTACTCTTCTCTGCCTCTTCAGTGTTGGGATTGAAACTGCATACCATCACACCCAGATTGTTTGCTTTTTATGTGGTTCTGAGGACCGAACTCAGACCCTGTACTTTCCATCTCTCCAGCTCAATGCTCGATTTTTCCTCAAGGCAACACTCTTCTGAGGCACTGTGGGTGCTTGGAGCACCCTGATTTATAGATGAGAAAACATAACTATGACAATCAAGGAGAGCCATTCTAGAACAGTGCAGGTAACCGCTGGAATTTGAACCCATCTGTGCTCAGTTTGTGCTTAACTTTTCCTCCCTGTATCCTGCTACAGAACGCCAGGTGGGCACCTGCTTCTCAGTGCTTATCAGAGGTCAGTGTGCTGCAGGTCTCACTGGCCACTACACTCACAGACAGTGCTGCTGTGACAAGGGCAGGTGTTGGGCGACTGGTCCATCCCCAAAGCTGTGTCCCCCACGGGGTTCTGGTGAGTGATAGCTTGAGCTTCTAAGTAGAGAGGTCACGGGTGGGAACTATGGCCTGGCTTCAGATTCTGTTCTATGTTTTATTATTGTTATTGTTGTTGTTATTATTATTATTGTGCGATGAACCACTATATAATGGACTTCCCATGCTTCAGCATTGCCAGGGCATAAATTTACTCAAATTCATTATTGTATGATGGGAAAACCATTCATGCACATGCATGCGGAAGTTAAAGAACAACTACATGAAGTCAGTTCTCTCCCTCTGCCTTTGTTCAGCTCCCCACGCTCGCAAGGCAAACACCCTTCGTCACTGGCCTTCAAACTCTGTTCTTTGCAGGTGAATTCCTGAGACTGTGTGCCCAAAGGCTCCCACTGCTGCCCGCCTATGCAGACTTCTTCCCTGGACTCTCAGAAGTTGGATCCAATAACCTGGGCTCTGCCCTAGGGCCAGCACAACACAACCACCGTGGTTCCAATGGGCATGGGCACCAACGTTCCACACTGAGCTCTGGCAACTCCAACAGTGGTGAGCCCTGGTGGGGCAGGGAGATTCAAAAGCTAGGGCTGAACTTGAGCCTGAGGAAGCAATCCTGAAGAAGGGAAGGAAGCTTCTCTTTGATGGAGTTGGGGTTTTGGATAAGGAGTCCCAGGGGGCAACCATAGTTGGCCTTCCATATTTACTGTTTAAACTAACCTTAGAAAATACTGGAGAAGAAAACATCTGCCAACTCATTTCATTGTTTTATGAACAACATATAGGAACTATCTGTAGAAGCTGGCTCTTCCAGAGATCCAAATTGGGAGCCCACAACTGCCTGTAAGTCCAGCTCCAGAGAATCCAATACCAGAAAAGTCTGGCCTCTGAAGGAACTTTGCACTTGTGTACATACACACATGGGCACAAGAAAAGTAAATCTTTTAAAAATAAATATATGCACACACCCAACCACCCACAAACACACTCACACATAAGTTCTTTCTCTCTTTTACACACACAGAGATATACATACACATACACAGAGAGAATACTAGCATAGCATTGCTTGACAAAGGGAACGCATTATCTTGAGAAATGGACAACTTGGTACTTTTGCTGTTGTGTCGACGTTTTAGATCTTGCTTTCCACACACGTATGTGGCATATGGGAATCACTTTATGCTGTCTCGGTGCAGTGGAAACCAAGGCCAGGGATTAGACAGTGACTTAGTTTTAGAATTTGCCAAGGACAACCTGACTCCTCAGTGGTGGATTCTGAGCAAATTCTCTACTACTGAAGCCATGTCCCAGCTCCTGATTGGCAGCTTCTGGACAGGCACTCCACTGCTGGTCCATTATTCAAGCCCTCACTGGAAGATCCTAAGCAGGTGCTCTACTGCTGAGCAAATCTCCTGGCCATATTCTGGTATATTATAGTACATCCTATTCTAGACTATCCCAGTATATTCTAGTCAGAGTCTCTACCACTGAGCCACACACCCAAGACTTTCACTGGGGATTCTAGGCAGGAGCTCTCCTGCTGAACTACAGCCTCAGCCCTCCTCTGGGCATTACTTTGAAAGGTAAGTGGACAGAGTTACTTAGAATAATACTTAGTACATAATAGGGACCCAGGCAGTGTGGTGACCTCAACCTTCAGCATGAGAATGCCACATCTTATCGCTCTTTGAATCTCTCTCTGTTGGGGGTGGGGATCTCAGGCAAGTGATACCAACTGATAATCCTGCCAAAGTGTAACAATGATAGGACCCAGTGATCAACCATTCCTCTGTGCAGACGTGAGGCTGGGGCTGTGTTTCCTACATTGGGATGAGGATGACTGTGGAATTCCCTTGCCTGGCAAGTATCAGATGGATGTCTGTTGCTGCTCCATTGGGACATCATGGGGAGCTGAGTGCAAGGTTTGCCCAGAGCCCAGCTCCCCAGAATTCTTCAAACTGTGTCCCCAAGGGCTGGGCTTTGCCAGCCAGGACTTCCTATCTGGCCGACCCTTCTATAAAGGTTAGTCTGGGGAGGGGCACACCAAAGGAAAAAGGTCCTAAAGGGAGAGTGGTAAAGGGTACAGCGTGGTCAAAGGTCTGATGGTAGGAAGCATTATTTGCAGGTAGGAGGTTTACTATCCAAGGCATAGTGATATAAGACTGTCATCCCAGCACTCAGGAAGTAGAGGCAGGAGGACCAGAGATTCAAGGTCAGCTTTGGTTGGGCTACAAGAGACTCTTTCAATATAAATTTAAAAAAAAAAAAAAAAAACAGATTTGGTATGATAATGCAGTTGATGTAATGTTTGCCTTGCAAGCAGGAGGACCTGAGTTCAATTCCCAGCAACCATGTAAATTCTTGGGTACAAGTTAAACAGATGTAATCTGATAGCTGAGCAGACAGAGACAGATAGATCCCAAGGGCTCACTGGCCAGCCAGCCTAGGTCAGTCCCAGGACAGTGAGAAAGCTTTTCTGAAAAATCAAAGATGATTTTCCCTCCTCAAAGCTCCTGAGAAACAACAGTTAAGGCTGTCTTCTGGCCTCCACATACACAGGTGTGTGCGTGCACGTGCACACACACACAAAGTGTGGTGGTGCATGCCTATCAAGCCAGTGCTTGGAAAGTAGAAGCAGGAGCTGCAAAGTGAGTTTGGTACTGTATTAAGAAGAAGAAGGAGGAGGGGGGGGGGGAGGAGGAGGAGAGCAGGATGGCTCAGCAAGTAGAGGCATTTTCCTCTAAGGAGCCTGACACTGAGTTCAAGCCTCAGGAGGCACACAGTGGAAAGAGAGAACCAACTCTCAAATTGTTTTTCTGACCTCTACAGTGTATGCACCCACATACATGCATAAAACATAAATATGAAAGACTTAAGAGAGAGGGATGTTAGCAAGCTCAAGAGGTAAGAACCTAGGGAAGGCTTAGTGTATGAATCCCAGACTAAAGACCTTCGGTGTGGTTTACCTGACCTTGTTTCCAACCCGTACTCCAGATGTGAATGAATGCCAGGTGTTCCCTGGCCTGTGCACACATGGCACCTGCCGCAATTCTGTGGGCAGCTTCCACTGCTCCTGTGACAAAGGCTTTGCCCTGGATGCCCGAGAAAGGAACTGCACAGGTAGGTGCCACTCCCCATCTGGTGAGGACAGGTCATGCATGTAGGAATTTGTGGGAGGGGTCCCTGTATTGAATGTGAAGACAAGGTTCATTCTTCAATCTCCTTTTAACATACCCAGCTATGGGTGTGGCCTAAGACAGCTCACCACCCTGTCTGTGCTGCAGGGATCTCTACAGTCTATGGAGGGCAATCCAAGACTACCTCTGAAAGGAAATTCCTTGCCCTTTTTCTGTGTTCATCTGAGGCATTTCTCCTTCCTGGACTCAGTTCAGTTTCTTGGGGCTCTTGGGCAACCCTCAAGTCTACAGAGACCCAGCTCCATACGTCCTCTTATTTGAAACCCCTGGCCTGTAGATCCTCATGTTTGCACACACAGACCTCTGGCCCATATGTCTCTGTCCCCACAGACATCGATGAATGTCGTATCTCACCTGACATCTGTGGCCACGGTTCCTGCGCCAACACCCCAGGCAGCTTTAAGTGTGATTGTTTTCCCGGTTTCACTAGTGGCTCTTTGCTGATGAAGAACTGCGTGGGTGAGTGGTGGCAGGGGGAGGCCATGGCAGAGAGAGAGAGCCATGGGCAGGAGGGACGTCCAGAAGAGGGGTGCCAAGCTTGCTGCTGCTGTGCAGATGTGAGGAGAAGCTGTAGCGTGCTGTTGGACTACCGTGGGATACTGCCACTAAGACAACACATTGAGAATGTGTGCCTTTTGGGGAAAGGAGCTACTCCCAGAGAAACCATTTAAGAAGCATCTAGCTTTGGGCATAGATTTATAATGCCATCTCTCGGAAGGCTAGGGCAGGAGGATTACCAATTCTAGGCCAACCTGAGCTATATAACAAGGCCCTTTCTCCAAAATAAAAGAGGTCCCAGTCATTCACTTTGTTATTTACTCAGCAAACATGTCACACGCATTCACTGGATTGGGGTAATGCAGAGAGTTTAAACACAAAGGGCTTCATAACTCCATGGGAAGACAAATGAAGTTGGTCTTGAAGGGTTAAAAAAAGGACACAAAGTTGGGTGAAGTAAGGAAGGGGACTGTAAGTGGGAGTAAGAGTAAGGTAAGATCAAAGTGTGTTCAAACTCTCAAAGAACTAGCTGAAGAGCCTTTCCCAAGAAAGCACAATTCTTATGCAGTCTGATGGGATACACCTATTCTGTGAGGTCTGGAAGGTGGCTGAGGAGAGTGAGGGTCAATAAAGTAGAGAGCACAGGAAGTGGCTGAGAGATGGGAATGAGTGGGATGGTTCAGTGAGTAAAGGTTCATGAGGCCAAGCATAACAACCTGAGTTTGATCCCTGGTACCCACATCATACAAGAGGAAAAGGAGCTGTCACAGTTGTCCACTGTGACCTCCACACGCACGCCACAGTGGCTGGAGGAACAGCATTGTGAAGGATCTGGGGTGCACCGAAGGGTTTAGGGAAATTCTAAGAAATGACACAGAGGCCAGAAGGATACATGCAAAAGCCCCGGGGTGGGTGTGAGAGGTAGAAGGATAGGTATGGCTGGACTGCAAACAGGTAAGGAGGGGTGCCACACAGAGAAGCTTCCCTAATCGCCCCATCCTCGGGTCAGCATCATCAGCCTGCTGTCTTTCCATGTGTCCAGATGTAGACGAATGTGCTAAGGATCCGCTGCTCTGCCAGAGAGGCACCTGCATCAACACGGAAGGGAGCTATGAGTGTCGCTGTCCCCCTGGACATGAGCTGAAGGCCCAAGGCACTGCCTGTGAAGGTGAGCTTGCAGCAAGATATGAAAGAGTGACGGGGTCTGGCACGTGCTCACATCTGTGTGTCTATCCAAATGTACAGTAAAAATGTGAGATGAAGTGTATGTATGTGTCTCTGAAGATCAACCTCTGTGTGTGTGTTTGCATCCACAAGATTGTGGTAGGAGTGTGAGTGTGAAAAGGAATAGTATGTGTGTGTGTGTAACATATGTGCATGTAAAATGGAAAAGTGTATGTGCGTGTGTGTATGTATCAACATGTGTGCATGAGTAGTGGTTTGTATAGTTGTGTCTCGTGTGCACAAGAGAGTGAGGTGGTTCATATTGTCCACCTGACAGGATCTAAAATCACCTAGGAGACAAAGCTCCAGCGTGTCTATGGGGGAGTTCAAGTTCCTACATTAAGTTAATGGAGGTGGGGAATACCCAACCTGAATGTAGGTGACATTATCTATCCCATGGGCTGGGGTTCTGGTCTGACTAAAAAGGAGAAGGGAGCTGAGTGACAGTGTTCATCCTGCTCTGTTTCCTGGTGGATGCAGTATGACCAGCTGCCTTATGCTCCCATCACCATGACTACCCTACCGTGATGGACAGTATCAAGCTGTGAGCCTAAGTAAATGCTTCTCCCTTGACTTGCTTTTCTCAGACATTTTGTCACAGTAATGAGGAAAGAAACAAATACAAATGGGAAGTGTATCTGTGAACACACCCATGTGAATAGCTATGAAACTGTATCTGTGCAAAAGCAAGTGTGTTTGTGAGTCTATGTACAGGTGTGTGTGTGGATGTGCAAGGGCAAACTTTTGCATTTGAGTACGTGTGCATATAGATGAGCCTATAAGAGGACAGAAGTGTATATTTGGGGGTGAACGTATAAGTGATGAGCAGGTCTATGTATTTGCATGTGAATGGACATTGGTGTGTGTGTGTGTGTGTGTGTGTGTGTGTGTGTGTGTACCTATAAGAGTATATGTGAGGATGAGGTACAGATTCATGTTGGTACAAGGGAGATGCATTCATGTCGGAGACTCTCCTTTCTGTAACCAAGACTGTGGTCCCATGGTCTGAAGGAGTACAGTCCAGCCTGGCAGGGAAGCCATGGCTACAGGAGCAACTAGCCACATTGTATCCACAGTCAGGAAGCAGAGTATTTAGGAAGTGCAGCTGAGTTACAAAATGTCAAAACTGATCCACAATGACCCACTTCTCCCAGTGAGGCTCACCTTCTAAGAGTTCCACAGCCATCTCAACTAGCACAACCCTGGGACCATGTGCAATCGCAAGAGCTTATGATATGAGTAAATATAAGGCTGTGTTTCTGTGTGTATTTATGTAAGCACACACAGTATGAGTGTATCTGCGTGTGTCTGGGTGTGGGTTCATATTTGCACAAGGATGAGTTTGTACGTATAAGGTGTGTTTCTATCATGCCTCTAGGTGTGAGCATGTTTCTTCAGGTGAATGCATGTGTCTACAAACGTGCATGACTTTGAGCTGCGCATGATTAAAAGATATATTTGTGAGCAGACAGGCAATCAAATAGTGGGATGCTGGTGCAAGCAGCCAGAGTGAGCTCACTGGGATGCATGTGATGGCTGATAGGGGATGAGGGACAGTAAGGCTGCTCTTTCACCTGAAACTGTCACCAGCCATATGTGTTCCTCCCACCAGACATCGATGAATGCACCACGAGTGACAGCCTCTGTCCCCATGGCCAGTGCATCAACATCATCGGTGCTTTCCATTGCTCCTGCCACACAGGTTTCCAGAGCACTCCTGATGGCCAGGACTGCGTGGGTGAGACTATGCCATCTCTACGATGCTCTCTGCAATTTTCTGCACAACACAGCTCTCCCCAGCCTTATTTCCAAACTCCTCTACGTTCCTGCCCCTAATTCAGCCCAAGCTCACCAACCTGGTTCCCCTCTTGTCTGCCCTGAAGACATCAATGAATACCAAGTCCAGAACAGAGGCTGTGAAGTGCAGTGCACAAATGTGAAGGGAAGCTTCCGGTGCAGCTTTTGACAGGATGCCCAATAGAAGGGCGTGCACAGGGTAGTGTGTCTTATGCCCTCTGCTTGGGATGTGAGCACCAGATAAGGCCTAGGCTAGACAGCAACTTCACACAGAGCTAGGCACGATCAGCCAGATCCCAAATATCTAAGCCCTGGACAGGATCCTAAACTCTTCCTATGTCCCTGTCCCCCTTCAACCCATCCCCTATCCTTGCTTCTCAAGATGTGGATGAATGTGAAGACAACCTAGGCATCTGTGGAGAAGGCCAGTGTACCAATGTGCTGGGATCTTACCATTGCATTTGCTATGATGGCTTCTCAGTCTCACCGGACATGAAGATTTGTGTAGGTAAGCAGCAGGGGCTGGGTGGTTAGGGACACACCTGAACACACCTCTCCATAGCCTGTGTGATCCTGTCATAGAAACAGAGACCTGCCCCCAACTTTTTTATTCCCCTCTGCATTTAACATTCACCATATGCCCAACACCTATCAGAGACCTATGCTTGTCCCACAGGCTATGCACTAATAACTACAGGCAAAGGGTGGTTGGTTGGTTGGTTGGTTGGTTGGTTGGTTGGTTGGTTGGTTAACTAAAGGTGTTGAGCATTGTTCAGAACGTAACTGTGTGCTGATCTCTGTTTGAAGACCTCCCCAAAGCTCTTTGGATAGCACAAATCCGTCTTCACCAGGCCACAGGCAGTTCTTCCTCCTGGGGAGTAGACGCATACTGGGCGCCTTGTCAGGGCAGAGCTGAGCTAGAGCAGACAAGTCCCCGGTGGTAACAAGCCCACCAAAGGCTTTCTAACCCAGTAGATCCTGAGCGTTTCAGCTAGGAGGAATGTCAGAGAATATCTTTCAGAAGGTGCTAATGAGAAATACAACTGAGGCAACACTTCTACCCAAAAGGCATGTCCTGCTTTTTAACATGACAGGACATCACCTATGAAGTCCAAACTCCAGAACCGTGCAATTCCGTTAGTCACCCCCAAAACTTTTCAAGCCAATTCTCTAAGAGTTTTAAGTAAGTTTATGATTTTATTTGGGGCACACTCATAACTATCCTACATGTAGTCAGTAAGCCAAGGGTTAGACACCCCAGCACACCATCCAAATACAAGTTAGCATAAACACATTGACAAACCTGGCTAGCTTTGTGAAAGTCAGCTGAGTGTGTGGGGCCTCTTTCCTCTGCTTAGGCTGTGAGGACCAGAGAAGAAAACCTGGATATTTTGGTTAAATGCAGCCCTTGTTACATATATTTGAACATGTATTACTTTGGGGAACACATGTAAGTTGTGTTCCATGAAAAATGCACTGTGAAATGCTCATAGAAGACTTATAAATACCCTGACCTGGGCCAGCAGGTCGTTCTTCAGTGACAGTAGCCTGAGGGAGAAGACCAGGGGACCAGAAGATAAAGACAACAAGAAAGTTTAGGACCAAGAGGTCTTATACTAGCTATGTCTCATACCAATCGAGTTTATTAGAAAGGACAATATCTTATATACAGTTTGCAAGGTGGGGGATGGAACAGAGTCAGCACAAAGCCATCATACAATGGGATGAAGTCAGCATGAAGCTAATCAAGCCATGTTACACAAAGGGAACACAGTAGATCTCAACTTCATCACAATCTGAGCACACAGCGGCCTTGGGACTGGTAACTACAATATCTTCAGAGGAAAAAGTCAAGTTTCCAGGAACTAAAACCTTCACTCTTTTGAGGTGTTAACCCTAGACCCAGACTAAACCTTGACAAGTCTGCCTGCCACTGGGCAAGGACACAGAGCTAGGTCCCGTTTGTCCTTTCATTGGGGCATCTGAGAAAACCTTGGATCAGCCTGACTCACTATCTAATGCTGGTCCTAGAGGGAGCGCTCAACCTGTGTTAGTAATTTGTTTCTGTTGCTGTGATAAAAAAAAAAAAAAATCAATGTAGGGGTTAAAGGAGTCTATTGTAGCTTATAATTTCATGTTGGAATTCGTCTGTCTGTGTGGGAGGTCAAGGCAGGAACTTCAGACACAGGGTGGTCATGTCACATCCACAGTCAAAAACAGAGAGACACGAATACCTGCATGCTCACATGCTGCGTTACTCAGCGCCGTGTCTCCACTCTTACCTAGTTCAAGACCACCCCTGCCAGGGAGTGGTGCCACCCACCGTGATCTGGGTCCTTCTACATTAGTAAACTTACAACAATCCCCTACAGATATGCTCACAGGCCAACCCAGTGTAGACAATCCTTCCCTGAGGATGTCTTCCTAGGTGGTGCTAGGTTGTGACAAGTTGACAATCAAAACTAACCGTCACGCTTTTCTTTGCAGACACCCACACAGCCTAGTAGGAGATTCTGCTGTGTGGCAACTACTCGGGAATACTGGCGATTTCCCTCATATGGCCTGCCTCCCTGCCCTAGCCCTAACCCTATTCCTCTTCCATCACCCTGCCCGCATAACCCAGACCCTGTCCTCACCACAGATGTGAATGAGTGTGACATGAATCCCCAACTCTGTCTCCATGGGAACTGTGAGAACACAAAAGGATCCTTTACCTGTCATTGCCACCTGGGCTATGCCATCAGGAAGGGAGCTCCAGGCTGCTCTGGTGAGTGAAAAGTCAGCCAGCTGGAGCTGGAGAGATCCAAAGAGCCAGCTTGAAGATCATTAGCACTGTCTCCATGCCTTAGGATAGAAGGCAACGAGACTCCTTCTTACTGTTTCCACTAATGAAACCCCTTGACAATAAAGCACCCTGGGAGCCTCTTAAAGAGCTCAATAGAGGGAACCCCAAAGGAAAGAGCAGCATTCCCAAGGCAAGCAAGCCAGATGGTTTTCGCATGATACATGGATTAGCATTTAAACATCTAACCAGTTAGAGAATTCACATCTCAGATCAAACTTCAAACCCCAGGATATTTTCTCTATTCAGAATGACAGTGAGGAGGCTGGAATCAGGGGATGGGTGGGTAGGTTTCTTGGTACAGAGAAAGGACCTGCCCTAGGCATCTCTCTAACATCTGGTTGTTGTTGGCAGACTGGTAGAATTTTATTCACAAGAACATTACACCCACAGCTGCCTTCATATTTGCCTTGTATTCTTTTCTGCTTGTCTGTGCCCAAATTCCCCTCTTAGAAGAGCTGACTGAACCAGGATGCAAAACAAACCATGATAACACTGTAACTTAGTGACATCTACAAAGATCATCTTTAACTATGATCACCTTCATATATGTGGAAGGTCATAATTCTCTCTGTGTGTCCTCTCTCTGTCTGTCTCTGTCTCTGTCTCTCTGTGTGTGTGTGTGTGTGTGTGTGTGTGTGTGTGTGTGTGTGTGTGGCATTGTATCTACACACAACTGTGTTTTTGTGGGAGGGGATACATGTTCAAGTGAATGTGTGTGCTTATAGAGACCATAGGTCAACTTGTGTCGTTTCTCATATCCACCCTACTTTTTTGAAGCAGGGTCTTTTGCTGAATTTGAGGCAGAGCAATTAGATAGACTAGGCTGACTGGCCAGTGAGTGTGAAAAAAATCATTCTGTCTCTGCTTCTCTTGACGTAGGATTACAAGCATGCTCCAACATGCTTGACTTTTTATGTAGGTGCTAGAGATTGAACTCACGTATATAGTGTATATAGCCAGCACTTAACCAACTGAACTGTCTCTCAGGCCCACACAATTTTTTAAACATTTTGTTTACATATGTATGCATTGTGTATGTATTTTGAAGCACTGGGATCAATCCCAGAATCTTTCTCATGCTAGGCACACACTCTATCAGTGAACTACCCATCCAGTCAAACTCCAATACTTCTTTGAAGTTATTAGAGTTGATATAAACTTTTACTTTAAATTTTATTTATAATCAAGTATATAATCGAAGCAGAAGGATCTCAAATGCCAGGCCAGCCCATTCTACATAGTAAAACCATGTCTGTGTCAAAACAACAAAATAACGGGCTTGGGTCTGGCTCTGCTAGAGACCCTGCCTGGAGTGTGCAGATCCCTGAGTTCAGTGACCAGGCCCTATGAAGACAGACATACAGATAGAAATAGATAGGTGGATGGATGATATATAACCTTTATTAAAAAATGATGGATGAAAGATGATAGACAGAAAGATAAATAGATACCTTTAAAATGAATGGATGGATGATAGATAACTAACCTTGGAAAAATGAATTGATTGATGGGTGAAAAATAAAATATGTTCATGCAAGTCAAAGTGGGGAACTATATAGAAAAAAATGTTTATTTAGTAAACAGTGGCTCACACTGATTCAAAATTGGAAAACCTGGTATAGATAGGCATCTTGGTTTAAATGTTCATTGGATAATTGTACTTAATGTCTACCATGAGTCATTTCTGAGGGCCACTGCAAGTCAGATCTGGTGGCCTTGAGGCTTCTTTCTTGGGCTATAAAAGAAAATGGAAGGTCCTTGGGAAGTCTATCTGTCTTTCTGTCGTTGTCTCTCTGATTCTTCCCTGCTGTGACTGCTTCCTACCACTGTTCCCTCTCCCCTCAGATGTGGACGAATGTGAGTTTAAAAGACACAGTTGTGACAGGCACGCCTCCTGTCTCAATATCCCTGGGAGTTTCTTCTGTAGATGCCACCCAGGCTGGACTGGGGATGGCTTCAAATGCCACGGTGAGTACCTAGGGGCAGAACATCCCTGAAAGGTGGAGAGGTAGATGGAAGGCAAGGCAGGGTGACGGGTGGAGACTAGGAGACGATATGTGGGAACCTTGTGGGTCTGGGAGTGGAGAGTCAGCCTCCCACAGCCTCAGTCCATACCAGGGGATCCCGGCTCTGTCTGCTGCAGACCTGGATGAATGCGCGATCCAGCAACATCGTTGTGCTCCGGAAGCTGGCTGCCTCAATACCCTGGGCTCCTACCACTGCACGTGCCAACCAGGATTTGTTGGAAATGGCTTATTCTGTGAAGGTGAGGTGGAGGGCAGGGCCTGAATGGGACAACCACTGCCCCATGGGTACTAGAGGGTCTACGTCCTTAGCTCACAGAACCACTCTCTGCATGCCCACCTGTCCTCTCTTTTGGTTACCACTTTTTTTCTGATTTTTAAAAAATTCTTGTTATTACCTTGTGTGTGTGCACAGATGTGTGGGAGGATGCACACATGTATAGGTGCACATATATGTGAGTACATGTGGAGGCCAGAGGTTAACTTCGAGTTCCTTCCTCAGGAGACAATCACCTTGGGATGGTGGTTAATTATGGGTTTTCGTTTGGCTGGTCTATTGGCTGGTTTGGGTTGGGTTGTTGTTGTTATTATTGTTGTTCGTTTGTTTTGTGTTTTGTTTTGCTTTGTTTGGAGGCATTTTTTCTGGTTGGGACCCCTAGGACTCGCCAATTAAGCTATATTGGTTGGCCAGTGATCTCCAGGGATTCAGGGATCTCCATCTCCCCAGAATGGATCACACATTTGTGCCACCACACCTGGCTTTTTCCACCTGGGTGCTGGAGGTCAAATTATGATTCGTATGTTGGTGTAGCAAGAATGTACCAGCTGAGCTATCTCCGCAGGCTTTTTGCTCCCCAATTCTTTCATTATTAGCTTTTCCTTATGATCTACACCACTGTAGTCAATTTAATCCTCTTCTTGCTTCCTTGACTGTGACTCCGTGTGCATCCAACTGGACTCTACCTATCACTCCGAATCCGCTATCTTGGTTACCTGCCTATTCAGAGTTAGCATCTGAGTTCCCAGGGCTCTCACCTGAGATTCTGGATGAGAGTAAATGGTTAAATCCAAAGCACTTCCTGCCCATTCAATGTGGGTCCTAACCCAGTTGGTTCTCAGCCCTGTGCTCTCTCAGACAAGGATGAATGCATGGAGAATGTGGGCCTCTGTGATAATGGACAGTGCCTCAATGTAGCTGGCGGGTACCACTGTGAATGTGATATAGGCTTCAACCCTACCAAGAACCAGCGAGCTTGCTGGGGTAAGTCTCAGCCTAGCCCTGTCCAAGCCAGTGGGTGTATACAGTGGGCTAGTTTCCAGAGCATATGATCAAACATGGTAGGCTGAAATGAGGTCCCTACAGATGTGGACGAGTGTGCTCTTGGGAACTTGTGCATGTTCGGGAACTGTGAAAACCTGCCTGGAATGTTCCACTGCATCTGTAAGGATGGCTATGAACTGGACAAAACTGGAAGCAACTGCACAGGTATGGAGTCACCCTGGCTGGGGAGCAAGCCATGTCCCCCCTACACCCGCCTTGACTTCTCTTCTAAAACAGTTTTCACCACCATCTTTTGTGCATATGTGTGTATTTCGGGGTATGTATCTATGTATATGCATCTGGGATACGTGTGGGCAAATATGTATGCGTCCAGAGGAGGAAGCCAGGCATCCTGCTCTATCACGCTCCACCTTATCCCCCTGAGTCAGGATCTGTAGCTGAACCTGGAGCAAAGTTGGCAGCCAGAAAGCTGGAGCAATTCTCCTGTCTCCACTATTAGCCCTAGTGTTGCAGGAGAGCATTCAAGCTTTTTACATTGGTGCTGAGAATTTGAACCCAGGCCTTTGTGCTTGTACAACAAGTGTTCTTACCCACATAGGCAGCTTCTTCAGCCCTCATCACTCCTTTATTTTAAATTTTTATTTTTAGATTTATTATTTTATGTGTATAAGAGCTTTGCCTGAATGTGTGTAAGTACACCACATGTATGCCAGTTGCCCATGGAGAACAGAAGAGGGACTCCCCTGGAACTGGAGTTACAGATGGTTGTGAGCCACCACATGGGTGCTGGAAAGAGAACTTAGGTCCTTTGCAATAGCAACAAATACTCTCAACTACTGAGCCACCCCCACTTCCTGTTTTTAATCATTGTGATCATTGCTGTGTAGTTTCATTTCTGTTGTTTGATAAAGTATCCTGAAAGCAAACAACTTAGGAGAGAAAGGAAAGAAGTCAGTTTCCACCCCCAAGTCTACCACTGTGGGCAAGTCATAGCAAATCATATCACATTCACATCAAAGAGCAGAGAGATAAATGTGTGGAAAATAAATTCATGCATGCTTGCTTCTATGCTTATGCAAAGAAGCTTCATTTCTCTATCCTCTAAGTGTGCTTAGGGAATGGTACAACTTCATCTTCCCACATCAATTAATTTAACTAATACAACTCCCACAGACAAGCCCCAGGCCAATCCAATGGAGACAGTCCCTCACTGAAACTCTCTTCCCATGTTATTCTAGGTTGTGTTCAGTTGGTTATTAGAAGTGACCATCACAATTGCCCTCTCATCATCTCCTTAGTAAATGCAGTGGACAAATGAAGTACCCTCTGCAGCACATCTGCTAAATGGTCCCCTACCCCAGTGTCTTTAATAACAGGTGGTGAAATTTTTCTGCTTTCTTTCTAGGTGTCTTTTGCCACCACTAGCTTTCCTGCAGATGATATGTAAATATATGGGCTTAGTTATGTGTCAATAAAACTTTATTGATACAAATAAACACTGGCCACATTTGGCCTTCAGCGTGGTTTTCCAACACCTCAATCAAAGGTGTTTTCTCATCTTAGTTTCATATGTTGGCTTGGGAAACTCAGGAATGAAGAGTGTGGAAGAGGATAAACCTAGGCCAAATGGAACTGAGCAAAGGAAGGGAGATTGCTGAATGGCCAAGGCAGACTCTTGAGGCCATGTCCTCTTTGGCTCCATCCAAGGGAACAACAAAGATTCATACTCCAGCACCTGAGTGGGCCCATTGAAATCTATGACCACTCAGGAGAAAGTGAGTGTACAGTGAGGTCTCTTAGCAGATGATGGTGTGTGTGCCTCACAGATGTCGACGAGTGTGCAAATCCTGTGAACTGTGTCAATGGCCTGTGTGTTAACACCCCTGGCAGCTACCTCTGCAACTGCCCCCAGGACTTTCAGCTTACCTCCAGTGGGACCGGCTGTGTTGGTGAGTACACACCTGGCAACAGCTGAGTAACTCAGGAATCGGTATTACTGGCAGGGCTATGGCCTGGGTCACCTTGGATGTCAATTTGTGTAGATTTTCCTGCACCCAACATGCAGGACAAGTATGGGCTGAGAAGTCATCTGTTGTGATACTGCCTTCTGGTCCAGACACACATGGTCACATGCACTCACAATTTTACACACGTGCATACCTTCCCTGCCCGTTCAGGAATATATTCAACCACTACATACAAACATGCAGGCATACACAGTTGTTACATATAGAAATATATGGTTCTAGTCAAGGACAACAGCAAACATAGTTACATACAAAGAACTACATAGGGTAAGACAGACAACTACACAGAGACATGCAATTATACATAGCATGGTTACACCCAGAGAAAACCACTGAGGCACAACAATTACCATAGAGACACACTTACAGAGACAATGTTTAGATACACATTACATGTAGTTTCTTAGAAGACTACAGTTACCCACAAAAAAAAACACAACTGCATGCAGACACAGTTACACAGACAGCAACTGCATATACAGAGGCACACACAATTATACACACATATAATTACAGTCAGAGACAACATCTATACATATATACACAGTTACAGTAAAGTTACACATGATATATATAAACTCACAGTTACACAGACACAGGTAGATACAGAGACAACCATTACACACAAAGAAGCACAATTCTATACATAAGCACATACATGTAAGGATATATATAGTATAGTCAGAGATACCATTTGCATACATACATATACATGCAGTTAACATACAAGATCAAATTGCACACAGAAAAACCCTTAACTACAGATCCATAGACATACAGAGAGACTGTTGTAAGATAGAGATACATAATAATACATAGACACACAGTCACACAGAGACCTGTGGTGAGAAACAAATGACACACAGGTATACAAAGACACAGAGAAACATTTATGCACACAGATTTGCAACACACAGATGCATAGTAACACAGTAACAGTTGGGGTCAAGTTACACAAAGAAAAACACACTCAAACACAGACAGACAGAGACAGTCAGTAGTACACCTAGAAATCTGGTACCATGTTGTAGGAGACTGTTCCTGGCTGCTCAGCCCTGAAATAACCACACAGAAACTGTATTAATTAAATCATTGCTTGGTCTATTAGCTCTAGCTTCTTATTGGCTAGCTCTTATATCTTAATTTAACCCATTTCTATTAGTTTATACTTTATCACGAGGATTGTGGCCTACCAGCAAGGTTTTAACTGGCAACTTGCGTCTTTTCCCTCTGGCAGCTACATGGCATCTCCTGACTCTGCCTTCTTTCTCCCAGAATTCAGTTTATTTTTTCCCACCTACCTCTATTCTGCCCTGTGCAGGCCCAAGACAGTTTCTTTATTCATTAACCATTAAAGGTGACACATAGACAAAAGGACTTCCCTCATTATTTCCCCTTTTCTATTTAAATAAAAAGGAAGATTTTAACTTTAACATAATAAAATTACATATAATAAAAAGATATTAAGCAAGAATTATGGTTACAATATCTATATCTACTTTATCTTTTATCATAACTAAGAAAAACTATAATTATAACTATTCACAAATGTACACATATACAGAAAAGTTATACACAATACAATTATAGACAAAGGCAAGTTACATGCAGAGAAACACACTAACACAATATAAAGTTACATACAGAGAAACATAATTACACATAGCACATGGTATGCACAAATTCACAGTTAAAGACACAACTAGACACATAAATACACAAAGTTACACAAAGATATACAGTTACAGTCAGAGATGGTAATTACACACATTTATGCACACAGCACATGGTACATACAAACTCACACAGTTACACACAGACAGACACACAAAACAGAGAGGCCACAGTTACACACTCAGGAACACACACACATGCAACCAGGAAGTCATGGAGTTCATGGTAACACAGAGAAATACATAGTTTCTTTATGTGCTAACCACCCATTTTTGCCTGTGCAGATACCCAGACCGTGATCTGTTTCCTGGATGTGCAAGACCAAGATGACGGTGGCATTTCCTGTAGTGCAGAGATTGGAGTTGGTGTCAGCAGAGCGTCTTGTTGTTGTTCCCTGGGTCGGGCCTGGGGAAACCCCTGCAAGCTGTGTCCAACAGGCAACACCTGTGAGTCCCTGCAGGACAGTGAGCCTGAGCCAGAGACTCAGAAGTTAGCAGGTTATCTCTGCCTGCAGAAGGTTTTGGAGGACAAGGAAGTAGAACCAGGAAGGAAAAGGATCTTCGGTCACAAAGCATGCCCTTGACAGTTCAAAGGCCAGGCCTCTCTCCAATTTTGCTTTCTATAAATTCTCTCTGTGTTTGTATTCAATCCATCACTCAGTCAGCAAACAATGAGTTCCTGTATGCCTGTACTAGGGACTAGGGATCCGGGGAACTGCAGGTCCCATGTAAGGTACGGGTTTGGAGGATGTGTAAAGTGATAAGAGTGAGGTGCAGTAGGACCAGGATCCCTCGGGATCCACTATCCATGCTCTAGATGGGAATTGATGTTTATACATATACCCCAACACTAGAGTATACTGAATCACTAGGCAGCTCCACAAAGCTGAGGATATGAATCGTGGTTGGTTCAGCAAAGCAAAGGAAGGGGGACCCATGTTGCATCGTTTTCAAGGGGCCCGCTCCCATCCACTAGGTTTTACCCAAGTGCCTCTCTTCATAGTTCCTCATGTAAGCCTGTTTCCCTTGCAGCAGAGTATAGGACCCTGTGCCCCGGTGGTAAGGGTTTCCGACCAAATCCCATCACTTTGATTCTGGAAGGTGAGTTCCTGACAGACTATTGATCCAGCTACACACTGATGGGTCTTTCTCTCATTAGCACATTGTCAAGTGTCCGGGGAGCAGCCTGAGGAAGCATATTCTCCTACTTGGAGGCTTTGTTGCAGAACCAAATTATGCATGAAAATTTTAATCTGTTCTATTATTTCTTCTGTCAGTTGTTTGTTTATTAATTGAGCTTTCCATCTATCCACTTGTCTATCCATCAATTCTTCCATCCATCCAACCACACAACCTTTCAGACAACCTGTCAATTAGCCAGCCAGCCTCCATTCACCTATCCACCCATGGATACCTACCCACATACCCATCTATTCCTTCATCTATCCATCCATCCTCCCTCTATCTATACCCATTCATCCATCCGGTCATCCATCCACTCATCATCCATCAATCCATCCCATTTCCCACCCACCCATATAATCCATTCATCCTTATCCTATCCATCCACTCACCCATCCACTTAACCACCCATATCGTTCACCCATGCTCTGTCACCATCTGCCTTAGTAACTTTCCTACTGTGATAGAATACCATGACTAAGGCAATCTATAGAAGAAAGAGATTGTTTAAACCTTTTTAGATTCAGAGGTTAGAGCCCACAACCATCATGGCAGGGAGCATGGCAGCAGGCAGGCATAACCTCCTCCAACAAGGCCACACATTCTAATCCTTCCCAAACATTTCAACCAACTGGGAACCAAGTATTCAAACGTTTGAACATAGAGGGTCCATTCTCACTCAAATCACCACAGCATCTACTCATTCATTCAGTTACCCCCATTTATCCATCTACCCATCCATCCATTCATCCATCCATTTCTTATCCATTCATCCATCCATCTCCCATCCACCCCATCCAACCATTCGTCTATCCATTTCTTATCTATTCATCCACGCATGCATCGATCCCTCCATCTCCAAATTTGCATCCATTTTTCATCCACTGCATTGACCCACTTCCATCTACCAATATCATCTCTCTGTCCTCTATCCTTATTTATTCATCTAACTACTTGCCTCTCTACCCATCCTTCTACTCATCCACATGTGATCTTCTCATCCATTGGCCTACCTGCACACTCACCCAGTCACTCTTTTTATATCCAAGAATCAGTCCTGCCGTCAGTCACTACTTTTCATATCCAGCCATCAGTCTTGGGGAATGGTGATGTTAGAAAAGATATTCTAGCCTGAGGAAACTATCATGCATGAGGAGATGAAATTAAGGTGGAAATAAAGGAGTTGGGCTCAATCCAGCACTGACTCAAGAATCCAGCCGTTGAGATAGATCCTCTGAATGCCCAACGGTCATGGAAATAACTATTGGGGGAATACTTTAAAGAGCCCATAAGATCCCCAGCAGCCTGTGGGGATCCCTCAAGTCCTCTGCTGGATTTAGCTCTCCTCCTCAGCTTCCTCAATTCCTGACAGACATCAATGAATGCCAGGAGCTACCCAGACTGTGCCAGGGAGGCAACTGCACCAACGCCTTCGGTACCTTCCAGTGTGAGTGTCCTCCTGGATACAGCCTCAGCGAAGATACCCACACCTGTGAGGGTGAGTGTGGACTCTGCCCAGGCCAGGCCGGGCACTACCTCTCCATCCCTGACATGATGTTCTGCCAAGCTTTCTAAGGTCAGGGATGCAAGGCTAACTGAATGCCCCGCCTTCCATCCTGTCACCCCCACTTCTCTCACTCATCAGTCCCCTTCCTTCTTCCTTCTACTCCCTTGTAAATAACATAGCTTGTAAATAACAGCAACCTTGATATTCCTCTCTTGAGCCAAAGATGACCAAGGTCCATGACTAACTGTGTGAAAGGACATGAGAAGGAATGGTCTCACCTTGACTTCAAATACACTTCACATGTCTCTCTATTGTCCTTGATTGAGCATGTAGTAGTGCCCAACAGGGACTCAGGGCCAGGACTGTGGGTTATCTATCACTGTGCTGGAGATCCTAAATTAATGTTTATCTACTACAGCGTCCCCATAAGTAAGGGTTTTCTATTATGATCCCACATTTTAGATGTAGAAACTAAGGCTCAAGAGGATTAAGTGACTTCTAGGTGATGTGGGTCAGCTTGAGTCTGACCATTCTAAAACTGAAGCCTGGGCTCTTTAATATAGTCAACAGGCCACAGCCACGCAGCCGCCTAGACAACTGGATGGGTGGATGCATGGATGGATGGATAAATAGATGGTTGAAGATAGATAGAGAGAGAGAGAGAGAGAGAGAGAGAGAGAGAGAGATATGGATAGATGGATTTATATCTGAAATCAGCTTATGTTGAGATGTTACCAGTAGTTGCTTGATCCTTGTGGCTGGTACCTCAGTAATTGAAATAGTCTCACAGCGGCTGGGTCACACTAGAGAGGCCAACAACCTGGTAGTTGCTCCGTCCATGGTACTGGATGCCTCACTAGTCTCAGTTGGGAGCTAAAAACCTTGAAAGTTCCTGAAGGGCCATCAGTTCTTAGTATGGAAAGCTGGCAATACTGGTTTTACTATCAGATAAGGAATCCTAAGCTGCAGCAACAGGATAAATCAACTCAGGCAAGAAGAAAGGTCAGGTGAGCAATAGGCGAGTTATCTTCCTCCTGCCACACCCTCTCTATCAGGGATGTACCCAGAAGGTGCTGTCCACATTTTGAGTGGGTCTTCCTACATCAATTAAGGCAATTGGGACAATCCTTCAGGTGAGGCTTCCTACTCATGTGCTTCTAATATGTGGCAAGTTGGCATTAATAGCAACCATGACTGTCACAGTGTATCATCCCCACAATATGCTGTTGGATTCCATCTGCTAATGTGCATGTGTGCATGCATGCATGTGTGTGTATGTGTGTGTGTTTAGGGGATATGCATGCTTCAGCATGTGTGCAGAGGTCAGGAGAGAACTCTCAGGAGCTGATTCTCTCCTTCCACCTTGCTTGATCCAGGCTTTCTATTTCTACCACTTCCCTGGGTCCTCCTGACTGACTGGCCTACAAGTCAGTTCTCCTGCCTCTAGTTCCCATCTCAGTGTAGGATATGTGTCTGTCTCCATGTGTGTATGCATGTGTGCAAGGTGCACATGAAGGTCAGACAGTGTCCAACTCCCTGGAACTGGAGTTACAGGCGGCTGTAAGCTGCCTCATTAGTTCCTGAGAACTGAACTCATAACCTATAGAAGGTATTGTGTGCTCTTAACCACTGAGCCATTTTCTCCATCCCACATTCAGCTTTTAAGATGGATTCCATGGAGCTGAACATAGGACATCAGGATCAGGCTTGTGTGGCAAGTGCAAATGGCAAGTCATTTCCCCAGCCTGATAACGGTTTTGTGTATTTCCTTTTCTAGTGCTAGGGATGGAACCCAGGGTCTCAGGGTCTCATGCATGTTAGAGAGGTGCTGGGCAGCCCCATTGCCTGTCCCTCATTTCCCCCTTAGGGAAGACCTTTGCATTTAGAGACTTTCATAAGGGGTACTGTCCTGCAGCATCCGTTCTTGTGGTATCTTTGTGTATTCTGGATATGGAGGTGATTCCGATATCATTGGATGAGTTAGAGATGATTCTCTACTATTTCTGGAAAATCCTGGATATAATTGGTATTCTTTTAATATGTGGTAGAATTCGCCAGTGAAGCCATTTGTCCTGGTCTTTTCTTGGTTGGAAGGTTTTTAACTACTGTATTCTGTCTCTTTCTATTATATTACCATTCTCTCTCTCTCTCTCTCTCTCTCTCTCTCTCTCTCTCTCTCTCTCTCTGTGTGTGTGTGTGTGTGTGTGTGTGTATGTAAATCTTAAAGACTTTAATTTTGTGTTTACAAGTGCAGTACTCGTGGAAGCCAGAAGAGGGCATCAGATACCCTGGAGCTGGCTCAGTGAATGCTCTGCAAGAACAGTGCATGCTCTTAACCACTGAACCATCTGCCCAGCTCCTCTTCTAGAAATGTATTCGTGTCCTCTTATCAACCTGATTTAGGGGCAGCATGCAATTATTCATTCTATTGTCTTATGATTCCTGAGCTTCTGTATGGTTGGAAGTAATGGCCCCACTTCACATTTTCATTGCTCTTAGTCTTTTTCATATTGTCTCTTAGTGTCAGTCCTGGTTTCTGTTGCTGAGAAAAGATATCATGACCAAGAAACAAACAAAAAAAATCATAGGGAGTGTCAATGTGAGTGCTCATGCCACAATGTGCACGTGACAGTCAGAGGACAGCCTTGGGTCAGTCTTTGCTTGCTCCTTATCTAAGACAGGGTCTGTTTGCTCTGTGTGCACCAAGATAGCTACCAATGCTCTGCGGGATCTGGGGATGCAGACTCAGATCCTCGTGTGTGTGCAACTATCGCCACCTTCCTGGCCCAAATATCTGTATGATTTTAAGCTAGTGAAACCAAACAGAAGTCAATAATAAAGTGTCTTTGCTCAGCCTGGGGTAGGGAACCCCCGAGGGAGTCACCCAGACAGTCTCTGACATTTCTCACATGTCCTCTTCCACCCTTCCCTCCACTGCAGATATTGGTGAATGCTCCACACACCCAGACATCTGTAGCCCTGACCCAGGCTACAGTTTAGGCAATTACACCTGTATCTGCCCTGCAGAGTTCCTGCAGGTCAACAGTGGCAACAACTGTGTCTGTAGGAAGTGTGATGACTTGGGCTTGAGGGGTGGAAGGCTAGTGGTTGCTATGGGAAGGACTGCAAAGGCCCTCAGAGCCTTGGAAGGTGCAGAGAGAGGTATATTTGAAAAAAAGAAACAGAGTACATCTGCATATATTTGACGTGCTCATATGGGACAAAATGATACCCCAGGACTTGGGAGCCCAGAGTAACTGTGGGTAGTCCTCCCAGGACATGCACTGGTCAACAAAGGCTTAAAAAGACTGAAGAAGAGACCTTAAGCCAAAGTGTTAACATAAATTATGGATAAACCCCTCTCCAATCTGCATTCTTATTCTGGCTTGGGCCCGTTCCCATATCTTTTCTTTTTCTCCTTAACTATTATTTACTTATTACATGGGAAATGGGGGCTGTGTGTGCGTTACGGCACACACGTGGGGGTCAGAGGACAACTTGCAGGATCAGTTCTTTCCTTCAACTGTGTGAGCCCAGGAGTCGAGCTCAGGTTGTCAGACTTGGTGGTAAGCGCCGTTCCCAGCTGAACCATCTCGCCAGTCTGCGGCCCGTGTTCTTTACTCCCGCTTCAGCTGCAGACACGAGAAAGAGCATGTGTTTCCGGCACTGTCATGAAACATGTAGGAACACGCTGAACTTCAGTGTGACCCGAAGGATGTATTGCTGCTCCTACAGCATGGGGCAGGCCTGGAACAGACCCTGTGTGGCCTATCCCACCCCTGCCAACTGTGAGTGCCCCAGCCACTTTCTCAGTCTGGCCCCTCCCAGCACAGTACAGAGGGATACATGGTAGAGTTAGAGGCTTCTAGCCTTTATTTATCTGCTTTATTCCTGTGTGTACCACACAAGTGGGTGTGTCTTCATGTGGTATATGCATGTGTGGGTACCCAATTGTGGGGGCCAAAGATCTACTTGGGGTGTCACTTTTTTACAAGCCTTCTACCTTGGTTTTGTTTGTTTGTTTTTTCAGACACAGCCCCCAAAGATCCACCCACCCCCAAAGGCCCACTTACTTGAGTTAAGCCCCCTCTTAAATATTCCACAGCCTCCCAAAGCAGCACCACCTGCTGGAGACCACGTATTCAAACACCCGAGCCTGTGGAAGGACATTGCACATTCAAGTCGTGGCACTGAATGTGAGGTTTGGGCTGCTGTAACAAAATAGTTGAGACTAGATTCAGGCAATTCTCCACAAACTAGTTTTTTAGAGCTCCTCTTTTATTTTGGCCAGAGTGGCTGACCAGGAAAACCCAGAGGTTTGCCTGCCTCTGCCTCCCTCATGATGCTAGAAACAAGCATGCACCACCCACCCAGCTTTTATACATGGCTCTGTGGTTTAAGCTCAGATCCTCGTGCTGCAGAGGCCTGCACTTCATCAGCTGAGCCATCTCCCTGGTCCCCTCTTTAATAAGGATTATAAGCATGGCTGGTGCTTTCTCCAAAGGAAAACATGCGGGAAGTCTCCCACCTGTGTTCTGGGAAGTACCCTGAATAGACTTGGGGCAGCCTTGAACCCAAAGATAGTCAACACAGAGTAAAGGAAGGTGGGAGGCCAGGCGAGGGCTGGGCTGTGGGTGCATGGAGGTGCAGCACTCATGGTGGGCAGCGGTATGGTCTGGGGTTCTGTTTTTCTCCACCCAGCTCCTCTGTGGAACTAAGTGCCAGGGTTCATCACTGACATCCGCATGGGGAAGTTTCTTGGTGAGTGGTCACCAAACCTTCTACCTACAGCCTCAGATTCCTTCACCCAGCCCTTTCCCTTCCTACTGCCTCTTTCCTTTCTTCCTTCCCTCCTCATTGTTGGCTCCTACAAGTACCTGTGCTTCCCTAGCCCTGTGGCAACCCACACAGTAACTGTGCAGGTGAGCTGCTTGGGTTGGTGGATAAGTGGCCCTATGACTGGGACACAGGACTCAGTAAGTAAAGGCAATTTCCGCCAAACCTAGTAGCCTGAGTTCAGTCCCCAGTGACTGATTCCCTCTGACCTCTAAACATGATTCATAATGCACACATAAAATAAATAGATAAAACATAATTTAAAAAAGAATAGGTGGGGAGAAAGTCACCCAATCACTACAGGCAAGAGATCTGAGTCCCAGAGCAACTTCCAGCATGTCTCAGGGGATTCTGCTGTAGTATCCAGGTTCCTGTGTCTCATGGCAAAGAACTGGACCAGGGACACATGGTTAGAAATAGAAATAGAAATAGAAATAGAAATAGAAATAGAAATAGAAATAGAAATAGAAATAGAAATAGAAATAGAAATAGAAGGCTAGAGGCGTGGAGCACTGAACAGCCCTCAAAACAGCTCTAAAGATGACTTGCTTGTGTCTGGTACTGGAATTTTTGTTAGCTGGTTTTGGGTTCTTGGATGGATAGTTTTCAATTTTATTTATTTAAACTTTTTGTACAAAACTATGGAATGCTTCACATGTTTGCATGTCATCCTTGCACAGGGGCCATGCTAATCTCTGTATTGATCCAATTTTAGTACATATGCTGCTAAAGCAAGCACTTATTTAAACTATGTAAGTATTTCTACAACCAGACTTACAGATATTATAGTGGTTTTTCAGGTAAGTGGTTAATAGTATGATTTCTTATGATCTTTTTCAGATATCCTTACTGTTATTTTACCTTCCTCCCTTCTCCTGTATTTATCTCAGTCCCTTCCCTAACCAGAATCCCCTTCTCCCCATTTCCCTGACCAGATCACTTGTACCCAACTATTCCTCTGTTCAGTTGTTCTCCCACACCAGCATTGGTCCCTTTTTCTTTTCTTGCTTTCTTCAGTTACTCCAGGACATGTCCTCACATCTGAAGATTTGGAGCTAGGAGTCTCCAATGAGAGAGAACGTGCAGTGTCTGTCCTTCTGGGTCTCCAATGAGAGAGAACATGCAATGTCTGTCCTTCTGGGTCTGGGCTACTCACTCAATATGATCTTTTCTAGTTTCACTTATTTACCTGCAAAGTTCACGATTCCACTTTTCTTTACATAAATAGTATTCCGTTGTGCATATGTACCATATTTTCATTATCCACTTGTCAGTAGAAGGGCATTTAGGTTGTTTCCATTTCCTAGCTTATTGTGCATAGAGCCACAGCAAACATGGCTGAATAAGTATCTGTGGAGTAGGATGTCAAGTCCTTTGCTCATATCCAAGCAGAGGGAGAGTTTCTTTATTTTATCTTTGAGACCTGATATTTTGTCTTCTGCTTGATTCATTTTTACATGTAAGACTTTCTTGTATTTTTGCTTTTCCATATAAAGTTGAGTACTGTTCTTTCAAGGTCTGTGAAGAATTTTGCTGGGGTTTTGATGGGGCATTGCATTGAATCGGTAGATTGCTTTTGGTAAGACTGCCATTTTTGCTATGTTAATTCTATTTACCCAAGAGCATGGGAGATCTTTCCACTTTCTGGTCTCTTCTTTCATTTCTTTCTTCAAATATTTAAAGTTCTTGTCATACAGGTCTTCCATTTGTTTGGTTAGAGTTACTCAGATATTTTATGCTATTAGTGGCTATTATGAAGGGTGATGTTTCTCCGATTTCTTTCTCAGCCCATTTATCATCTGTGTAAAGGAAGGCTACTGATTTTTTTGAGTTAATCTTGTATCCTGCTACATTACTGAAGATGTTTATAAATTGTAGAAGTTCTTTGGTAGGATCTTTGGGGTTGCTTATGTAAACTATTATATCATCAGCAATAAATGAGAGTTTGACTTCTTCTTTTCCAACTTGTATCCCCTTGACCTCCTTTTGTTGTCTTATTTCTCAAGCTAGAACCTCAAGAACTATATTGCATAAATATGGAAAGAGTGGACAACCTTGTCTTGTTCCTTATTTCAGTGGGATCACTTTGAGTTTCTCTCCATTTAGTTTGATGTTGGCTATTGGCTTGCTGTATATTGTCTTTATTATGCTTGGGTATGTTCCTTGTATCCCTGCTCTCTCTAAGACCTCTATCATGAAGGGATATTGTATTTTGTTGAAGGCTTTTTCAGCATCTAATTAGATGATCATGTGGTCTTTCTTTTTCAGTTTGTTTATATGGTGGATTACATTGACAGATTTTCATATGTTGAACCATCCCTGCATCTCTAGGATGAAGTCGACTTGATTATGGTGGATGATTTTTCTGATGTGTTCTTACATTCAGTTTGCCAGTTTAAATTGAGAATTTCATACATGCATATGTGTTTTTGATCAAGTCCACCCCCAGCTCCCTGCCCTGCACCTCCTCCCGTATCCCACCAACACTTTCCCTCCCATCTCCATGTGCTCTTTGTTAGACACGCTGAGTGCATTTACTGTTGCCCATACGTGGGTAGGTGTGGGGTCATCTACTAGAACACAGGCAACCTATTAGGAGCCATATCCTGGGTAAAAACTGACACCCTCCTTCTGCAGCCAGCAGTTGACAACAGCTCTTCAAGTGGGGGTGGGAATTCATGATCTCCTTACTCATCCATCTTATTTATTGTAAAGGTATTTTTAAAAAGAAGAAGAGCTGACTATAGTTTAGGGCAAGGTCGTCTTGCAAACGGGAAATTTATGAAATAACAAATAGCAGATATACCAAATGGATGCATGGAAATCTTGGAGGGAACCTGCAAGCAGCTCATAAATCTTGCTCCCTGCCTCCCTCCAGGTTCATAAAACCAGCAAGAATAAACAACCCTTCCTTCCTCTGCTGCCCCTGTGTTCCAGAGTCTCAGCTTTTCCCTTAGACCCAAAACTTTCCCTGAAAGGGCTTGGCCCCCAAATCGCCTGCAGATGTTGGCCAAAGACCTCAGGGAACACTCCACCTCCTCTCTGGCACTGAATTCCTCTTCTTTTCTCCTCCACAGATATTGATGAGTGTCTGAGTCTGCCAGGGACCTGTCTGCCAGGCACCTGTCAGAACTTGGAAGGCTCCTTCCAGTGCATCTGCCCCCCTGGCTTCCAGGTGCAGAGTGGCCATTGCATTGGTGAGTGTCCAATCTCCTATCAGAATGCAGGTACACACAGCACAGGACCAAGTGCAGCTCCATTACTATCAGAACTGTTCTGGAACTCCTGGTTCAGGTCTTTCTTTCTCTCAGGGCTCAGAGAATTCTTTGTGATCATTGTAAAATATACTTGGTTTCAGTATCATTGTACTTCAGAAACTCCGTGGAATTCTGGTCCACAAGAATTATGTCATATACTTTAAACTAATTAGTCTAACTTGATCTTAGCTAGCTAATTCACCAGGTTAGTCTCATATGATATATGCTAACCTGGACTAGAATGTCTTAGCAGGTGGATTAGCCTATGGGCAGAAATATAAGGAAAGCTCAATAACCTTGGGGTCTATAGTGAGCCTACTCTCCCATCTCCCACTGCCGATACTGATGAGCCCACCTTAGAGGGGCAAATATGTCAGTTTTCCCATGATCTCAACCAATCTGGCCCAACTGCTGATAATCCAGTCTTCCATTTGTACTAACCTTTTATAATCTGGGCCAGTTTGACCTGCCCACATCTATTTTCCATTTAGGCTAGCCTTGTATAACCTGGGCTAACAAGCCATTCTGGCTTCAGCAAATGCACTGTTGTGTATAGAATGAACTCATTTAGACCAGTTCAGTCTGGTATTTTCTAATTTATTCTATCTAGTCTAGCCTGGCACATAAGCTAACTCCAACTAGTACAGGAAGAATATCTCTAGTCTCGATTATCTTTGCCCAGTTTTCAGTCTCTAATGATGGCATGACTCGGCAGGTAAAGGCACTGGCTTCTGAGCTTGAGTTCTGTCTTTGGAATTCACGCAGTGGACGAGAAAACTGATTCCTGGAGGTTGTCCTCTGACCTCCACATATGTACACACAAAATAAATACAAATATAATAATTGTTGTTTTGGAGGCAAGGTCTCACTATGTTGCCCTGGCTGTCCTGGAACTCTCTATGTAGACCAGGCTCGTCTGCAACTTACAGACATCTACCTGCCTCTGCTTTCTGGGTGCTAAGATTAAAGGTGTGCACCACCATGCCCAGCATTTTTTTAGATGAACTTCGGAGTCTAGAGAGGCGGCTCAGCAGAGAGCCCACTGCTCTTGCAGAGGACCAGCACCCCCATCAGGCAGCTGACAACCAGCAGCTCTAGAGAGATCCAGGACTTAAGGCCTCCACAGACATCTGCACCCTCACGTACATTCCCAGATGCACATGTGCACACACACACAAACAGGTACACTTTTAAAACACAGAAATAAATTTAAAAGATGAACTCCTGAACATAACCCCTACTCTGAATATACCTGAGCAAGACTTCCACATACACACTGCCCACCTAGTGGTGACTCCCTCTGCAACCACCAGCCCCACCCTGCGTCCATGCTTAGGAGCACGTTGGAGAGCTAAACTCTCCCCGCTTTGCTGGAGATACAGTTACCCCATCTCAGCTCCCATCCCTGCCTCTGCAGATACTGATGAATGCTTGGAGGAGCCCAGCCTCTGCTTTCTTGGCACCTGTGCCAACAGTCCTGGGACCTTCCAGTGTCTCTGCCCTTCTGGTTTTGTCCTCTCTGACAGTGGACACTACTGTTCTGGTGAGTGTTGCGAGAAATATAAGAAAATGCCTGTTCCAGAGCCTACAGTTCAACTTAGCCAGTATCAACCATGAAGGGAACATAGGGCCCAGTGGTAAATCATACCCCAACATGCCTGTAAGAACTCAGGCTGGTGGGTTGGAGGCTGAGGGGCTGCCCTACCAGGTCTTCCAACTCTCTGAAAATGATCTTTGTCATTCTAAGAGAACTCTGATTCAAAAGCAATGGGTAGAGTTTGCCTATTCTACCCGACACAAGGGCCACGTTGGAAGTTTGTTAGCAAGACGCATGCACACACACAAGAAGTGGCTTGAAACACTGTTGGGAAGGATTCCCAGCTCAAGCTCATTCTCTTGGCCCAGAGTGCATCACAGGTTCACTCCCAAGCAATTGGGTCTAGCCAGGTGTATGGCGTATTTGCTTTGGGTGCTAGTAGGAGCAGGGTTGCCCATTCACTAAGGTTGGGATGAGGAAGATTAGCCAGTCAGGTGCAGCGCCTGGCTGCTCTCGTCCACTATTATGGTCCCCACCTCCCTGCCCACAGACATTCGCCAGAGTTTTTGCTTCACCCGGTTTGAAGCCGGAAAGTGTTCAATGCCCAAAGCTTTCAACACCACGAAGACCCAGTGCTGCTGCAGCAAGAACCCTGCAGAGGGTTGGGGGGAGCCCTGTGAACTGTGCCCTCAGAAGGACAGTGGTGAGTCCCCCTCCCGGCTCCGACCATCTCCTTCCCACTACACTTTCTCCCTCCTCCGTTCTTCCCTCACCCTTTTTAGACTCTGGGGACTGTTGTGCTGAATCCCCCTCCCCGACTCTTCTAATCCCACTTACTATTCTCTTTCCAGTTACTTTTCAGGAGCTCTGTCCCTTTGGCCATGGGGCTGTCCCAGGCCCAGATGGCTCCAGAAAAGGTAAGGCTTTCTTCTGGGTTCTAGGAACCCCTTCCTTCTGTCTCAGCTCTGCATGGATCCTCAAGCTTTGGAGTCTACAAGTTGCCCTGGAATCTACTCAGTGACGGGTGGACAGGCACTGTGTCTCAACCCTGCAGATGTGAACGAGTGTTCAGAGAACCCTGGCATCTGCACTGACGGTCCCTGTGTCAACACTGACGGCTCCTTCCATTGCAAGTGTCCCTTTGGCTACAGCCTGGACTTCACCAGCACCTCCTGCGTTGGTGGGTAGCTAAGGAGTCCTTTGCCGACCACTGTCACTTCCCTCATCCACGCACTCTCCTATCCTACCTTAATTCCCGCAGAGGTGACAAAATATCCTGACGAAAAGCAATTTAGGGGTGGGGAGGTGGTGACACACATCTTTAATCCCAGCACTTGGGAGGGAGAGGCAGGTGGATCTCTGTGAGTTCGAGGCCAGCCTGGTCTACAGAGTGAGTTCCAGTACAGCCAGGGCTACTCAGAGAAAACTTGTCTCAAAAAAAAAAGTGGGGGGGGGGGGTATTTCAGCTCACAATTATAGTCCATCATAGTGGGGAAGTCACGGCAAGAACTTCAACTAGTCCCATGATATCCAAAGTCAGGAGCAGAGAGAAATGAATGGGTGCATGCTGGCTTAATTGCATGTGCTCAACTCTATATCTCCACTCTCACACAGTTCAGGACACTATGTCTGGGGAAGGGAGCAGTCCACAGTGGGCTGGGTCTTCCCCCCAGACATGCCCACAGGCCAGCCTGATGTAAACAATCCCGTGCTGAGAGTCTCTCCCTAGGTGTGGCAAGTTAACATAGAAGCTAAGCCTGCCTCCTCCTTTCCAATTCTCATTCACTTATTCTTTCTTTTTTTAATTTATTAGATTTTTTAAAAAAATACCAATCCAAGTTCCTACTCCCTCCCATCCTCCCACTCCCTCCACACACCCTTCCACCCCACCCCCATCCAGTCCTCAGAGAGGGCAAGGCACATTGCTTTGTGGGAGGTCCAAGGCCCTCCCCACCATATCCAGGCTGAGCAAGGTATACATCCAAAGAGAATGGGATCCCAAAAGGCCAGTACATGCAACAGGGATAAATCCTGGTGCCACTGACAGTGGTCCCATAGTCTGCCCCAGTTATACAACTGTAACCCACATTCTGAGGGTCTAGCTTGGTCCTATGCATGTTCCTTCCCAGTCCTCCTGGAGTTGGTGCTCTCCCATTAGCTCAGGTAGACTGTTTCAGACATTCATTTATTCTCTCATTTGCTCATTCATTTCCCATTGTTCGTGCATTCGTTCACCAGCGTTAGAGTTGATTCACCCATTTGCTTAATTGTTCATTCATTTGATCACTCGTTTACTTGATCATTTGTTCACTTACTCAATTAGTCTGCACTCATTCACTAATTCACCTCTCCGTTTTATCCTCATAATCATTCACTCAAACAGTTCTCTCACTCATCCAGGCTCCACTGGTTCATTCTTCCCTTGGCTTCTCCTTGCTCATTCAGCTGTTTATTTCCCGTGCATTCATTTAGGTGTCCAACTAATCATTAATTCATCCCTCCATATTCTCCCCTTACTCTTTATATAAGGAGACCCCTGTGGGGGAGGTATTTGCCCAAATGTCTTGGAAGTTTCAAATGCACATGTACTTTGAGGCTTTGAGCCTGGCCCTACGATGATCTGTGACAGTACGATGCTTCCTGAGCAGGATCAGAACTGTATAACAGGGATTCTCTAGGGATGATCCGTAGGAGGCACCAGGGGTACCTCAGGGAGAGCCTGCCCAGATGAGACCTCTGCTGACCTCCACAGACATTGATGAGTGCTCCCTGAATCCACTGCTCTGTGCTTTCCGCTGCCACAACACTGAGGGCTCCTACCTATGCACCTGCCCAGCTGGCTACACACTGAGGAAGGATGGTGCCATGTGCCAAGGTAGGGTCTGCACAGACTGGCAAGGGGAAGGGCTCTCTGATTACCCACCAATGATTTTATGCTCTCCACTGTGTAGTAACATCACACCAAAAATGGTCCAGATGTGGTCTTAGCACTTTGGTTTCCTATCTTTAAATGGAACTGAGCCCCAGAGGGTAGAAGTGAGCAGCAAAAAAACTCACACAGAAGACAGCTGAACTAGGGCATGAAGTAGACACTTGGTTTTTGAAGGAGACGTGGTTTTTTGCTTTTTTGGAGAAGTAGTAGCTTTTTTGCTGTAACTGATTGATACAGACTGGGTAATTGATAAAGAACAGAAATATGGGACAGGAATGATGGCTCAGTGACTAAGAGCACTTGCTGTACTAGCATGAGGACTTGAATTCAGACCTAAGCACCCACAGCAAGATCTTGGTGTGGCCACACGAAGGCCTTTAACCCCAGCACTGTAAAGACAGAAGGATCAATGGGGCTTGCTGGCTGCCAGCTTAGCTGTAGGTCCAGTAAGACCATCTCAAGTAAAAAAAAAAAAAAAACAGAGTATGGCAGAACAGGATATGTGACAGTCTCCTCTGACCTCTGTGCATGTGCATGGATATGCACACCTATGCACATGTGTGTATATAACACACACACATATGAATAACAATATATTTGGCTCATGGTTCTGGTGAGGGTCTCCAAGTGGCATCACGATATGGCACAAGACATCACAAAGCAAGACATATCGAGGTGCTAAATCAAGTCTGTTCTTATAACACCACTGAAGCCATGATGGGAGACCCATCCTCATGACCTCATCTAATCCTATCACTTCCCAAAGACCCCAACTCTAAATACCAACCCTATAAAGCTTTAGGGTTGTTTGTAGCACATGAACTTCTGCTAGGGTATGGAATCTAGGCTCTTCCCATCTGGAGCCAAGCTGTGGAAGGCATGACCTTGACTCACCCACTATCCCTGGTCATTCAAAGATGTGGATGAGTGTGCAGATGGGTCTCCGGATTGCCACACCCGAGGCATGCTGTGCAAAAACCTCATCGGCACCTATGCCTGTATCTGCCCGCCTGGCATGCAGCTCCAGCCCTCTGGGGAGGATTGCACAGGTACGTGGTGCGTCTAGGGCACTGGGAAAGCTACATGGAGGGGAGAATTCAAAGGAAGGGGGAACTTTCAAGGCCAAAGGCAACTGGCTTGGGGACTTTGGCCTCCCCTTCTGGCCTGCTTTATCCCTTCCATCTCAGATGAGGATGAATGTCAGGCCCAGTCCAGCCTCTGTGCCCATGGTCGCTGCATCAACACAGTGGGAAGCTTCCAGTGTCATTGCGATGAGGGTTTCCATCCCAGCCCCACCCTCACTGAGTGCCATGGTGAGTGTAACCAGGAACAAGCAGGTGAACATAGACTTGTGAAGTCTTGGACAGGGGTGAGGTCAGGAACACTGAAGAGACATGTAAGGAATTGCTGTACCATTATCAATATAGATGCATGAGCCTACACACACTCTGTAGAAGAGGTAATTCCTCACTGTCCTCCCCTTCCTCCTGTTCTTTCCCATCCACCTCTATGACTCCTGTAACCTTAGAGGCACCAACCCAGAATGATCTCTCCTTGGGTTTCCCACAACAACTTAAGAACTGAACCCAACAGTACCTTCTATGTTAGGCACCTGTCCATTCCTGTTCGCATCCTCTTCTCTCTTCTTCATGGATAAAGTACATCCCCTAGCTTCCGGCCAGATGATATTTATCTCCTTGACACCCTATTCCCATCCCCCAACACTGTAGCTTACCCCAAAACTAACTCAGCTTCTTTGCCCCCAAATCCCATCTCAGTGGTTGGAATACCCTGCACTGGCTTTCTGGAGTGACCAGTAGAGACTTCCAGTCTGTATTTAGCCCTCACTTCCCACCTATCTCTGATCTTATTTTTTTATTCTATTTAATTACACTGTTTGTTATCAGTATTGAGGTTTGGGGGACCATTGTGTATAAGTGTCCCATGGCACATGTGTGGAGGTTGGCTATTTCTTTCTACTTTGTGGATCCTAAGGATCAAACTCAAGTTAGTCATGTCACCAGGCCTGATATTTTTCTCCTCTGTCTCTGTTGTTCTATCCCAAGCATCAACTCTTCCTATCCCCATTCCCCTGCTTACCTGCTGCCCATTAATTGTCTGTCCTTTCTCACAAAGACACTACCCACCATAGAGGCCACCTAACCTTCAAAACCTATCCCAGAGCTAACATTGATATTTGGAGAGGTGGGTAGCTTTTGTCCCAGTCCAATGAAGCAAGTGGGTGTTACCTGACCCATTCAAGGGCGTTTTACAGTGCCCAGTGCCAACAGGAAGATGGTCCCCTATACACATATGCCTGACTTCCAGGCACAAAACAGAAGAAGATCCTGGGCAAGGCAGTTTTTCACCCACCCTTCCTACCAATTCTCTGCAGATACTCGGCAGGGGCTCTGCTTCTCTGAGGTGCTACAGGCCATGTGCCAGAGTTGGTCAAGCAGTGGTGAGGCTGTACCCAGAGTCGAGTGCTGCTGCGGAGGCGGCCGGGGCTGGGGCCCCCATTGTGAGCTCTGCCCCTTGCCTGGCACCTCTGCCTACAGGAAGCTCTGCCCTCATGGCAAGGGCTACAGCACCAAAGGCCAAGGTAAGTTCTCTTGAGGTCGTGTTGAAGCTATGTGACTGTGCTACAATGGTGTGAGCTACTCTGTGTGCATTTGCAAGTGTGTGCATGTGTGTGTGTGTGTTCCAATGTGCTAGTAGATAGAACAAGAACAGTGTTTGCCCTGTGCATGCATGAACTACAATGGCCAAGTGAGCAGGCATGGGAAGAGGTGTATGTGTGTGTTACTTGTTTGTGGTGTGTACAAACCTGTTAATGTGCTTGGGAGACCCTATCAGGAGGCATAAGTTCCTTCACAAGCTTGTTAATGTCTGTGTGTGTGAGCTGTGTGCCCTCTGTGTGTGAAAGCTTATTAATAATCATTGGGCTCATGGGCATAGGGGTCACTGGACTTTGTGAAGAGCAGCCCTTCCCATGAACTAGAAAGCTGTGGGGGTGGGGGAGTGAGTCTGTCGGGTGTTAATGAATTCTACCAAGTTTATAGGGTAAGTACATGACTGCATGCTTATCTGTGAATGGGTGTGAATCTGTCCACATATATCACTAAGTGTGAAATGGTTATTCTGAGTAAACAGTAAACAGTAAAAAGGCTAGACCCCAGAGAGAAGTGCCTATTCTCAGTGACCCTGGGGTACTAAGGAGCCATGGATTGGGTGCATGTCCCTGTGACTCAAGGTTCTTCAGCAGTGTCTGGGTACGTGGCTGTAGTAACATGTTTATGAGTCCTTCTGAATATGTGTGCTGCTGTTTGGCCTTGAGGAGATGTTGCTATTTTGCTAATCAGGCTGAGGCTGAGGTAAATGCATGTGTGTGTGAGTATGTATGTATGTAAATCTGTGTGTGTGCATGCATGTTTGTATCTGTGTATGTGTGTATGTATGTTTGTATATGTATATATGTGCATGTATCTATGTATGTGTGTTTGTATATGTATATATGTGCATGTATGTGTGTATATGTGTATGTATGTGTGTATATGTGTATGTATGTGTATACATATGTGTATCTGTGTATATGTGTGTATGTATATGTGTATGTGTATATTTGTGTTGTATATGTGTATGTATCTATGTGTATATATGTATGCGTATATGTGTATATATGTATGTGTGTATGTGTATATAAATACTCAGTGGAATGAAGCTCTGTCATCATGTCCTGCTGGCTCAGGACTGACCCAGTGCCTTAGAGTAACATCCATGTGGTCAGAATAAAGGAAAGCCCTCTAGAGAGAGGGCTTGTTGGTAGAAAACAAGGTATTCTTTAAGAGAACAAGAGAGCCAGCTAACCTCTGCCCTGCCCTGTTTGTCCCTAGATGTGGATGAATGCCACATGTTTGCTGACCTGTGCCACCATGGCGAGTGTATCAATAGCATTGGTTCCTTCCACTGTGACTGCCAAGCTGGGTATACACCAGATGCCACTGCCACTGCCTGCATGGGTGAGCCAAGTCCCATCCCCACCCTGTACCTTTGGTCTAGTTATACTTCTGCAAAAACTGTGTCACCCCCATTCCAATGGGGACTATCCACTTCGTATCTCTTGGTTTTCATGTACACTCTAAGAAACTCAAAAAACAGACCAGAAGCAAATATTCTTTGGCATTTCCATCCTGTTTGGATCATATTTCCCGCTCCTATTTCCTGTTATTTAATACATCCTAAGATTTTTTTTCAGTTACACTGTGTACCAGGTGTTCCTCCAAATCGTGGGTTGCAAACTGTAATCTGAAGGCCAAGTTGTAAGTAGAGTTTCGTTGGCATGCAGCCGTGCCTGTGTGTTTATTCACCTCCAGTGACTACTTTCCTGACGGAAAGATTGCGCTAGTTAGTTGTGATTACAGCCACGCAACCCACTGTTAGTTTGCTTTTCTGTTGCTGTAATAAATCACCATGACCACATCAACTTATGGGAGAAAGAGTTTATTTGGGCTTACGCCTTAGAGGAATGAGAGTGTGTCGTGACTGGGAGGCATGGCAGCAAGCAGCAGGCGTGGTGGCAGGTGCGGAAAGCCAACAGGTCACGTCTGGAACCACAAGCACAGAGCAGAGAGAGAAAACCAGAAATTGCAGTCTTTACATTCTCGAAGCTCAGCCTAGTAACACCACTTCTCCATTAAAGTTTCACCTCCTAAGTCTCCCAACAGTACTACCAGCTGAGGAGGACCAAGTGTCCAAATACATGAGGCTGTGGGGGACATTCTCACTCAAACCACCACACCCATAAAAATAAACATTCATCCATCCCTCAGAGCCAAAGGGAATTTTTTTCAATCTTCACTCCCCTATCAGATGCCAAACTGGGAGCTGCTTAAGCCTCCAGTATAAAATGGTGTCTTTTGGGGCTGAACAAATGGCTCCGTAGTTAAAAGAACTTACAGAGAACCTGAGTTTAGTTTCCAGTACCCACACTGGGTGGCTCCCCAACCTATATAAGGCTAATTACAGGAAATTCAAGGCCTTCTTCTGGCCTCCAGGCTCCTGTGTGCACACGGTGCTCGTGTGCACACGTGCGCGCACACACACACACACACAAAATAAAATAACAAAATTTAAGTGGTGTAGTGTTTGCCTATGACCTACACACATCCTCCTGTATATTCATTTAGTTTCATTTTTACCTCTTGTGACAGTAAGAATGCAACTCAGCCCCCCCCAGGGGCTCTACCCCTAAGCCATGCCCCCAGCCCCTTGGTGGTATATTCTAGAAAGATGCTTTACTACTGATGATACCTACAACTCCTTTTTAAAGTATTTTTATTATTTAAATTTGTTCCCTAAAATGTTCTTAGATGTGTATTATATAGTGATTATCTCCATATTATTTTATAGATTATTAATCACATTCCAATTATACTCACCCCAGCTCTCCTATCTCCTTCCCACCTCTGTCCAACCCCACCTCCTCTTCATAATCCTCTTTCCCACATTTGCTTCCTAAAAATGTTTAAGCTATCTTGGGGGGGTGATCAGAGTTCATGCCTGCAATTCTAGCTCATGGGAGGCTGAGGCAGAAAGTGAGCTTACGGTGAGCTAAAGGCTAGCCTTGGCTGCTTTGTGAGTTCTAGGCTAGCCTCTGCTGCATATTTGAACCCTGTCTCTAAAATAAAATAGAGGCTGGAGGGATAGCTTAGCAGTTAAGGGCACCAGCTACTTGTTTCCCAGAACCCATATGTCAGCTCACAACTGTCTGCGATTCCAGTTCAAGGAGAGCCAGCATTCTTTCCTGACCTTCCAGGCACCTGGCACACAGGAGGTACACACATACATATGTGCAGGTAAAACATCCACACAAACCCTCGAGAAAATTTTTTTTTCATTTTAAAAATAAATAAAATTATCATTTTATATGTTTTCTCATCTTTATTACAATGTAACATAGAGTTAAGGCACGGAGTCAGTTCAGCATTGATGTATTAGTCTAATACAGTGTAAGAGCTGTGACGTGTACTATGTGAAAAAATTGGAGGAAAATAATCTGAATGCTCAGTACAGACACTTTTTCCCCCAAAGTATTTTCTATTGCTGAGTCCACAGAGATAGGTGGAGCGTGGAGCTCTTTCCTGTCATGTGTAAACATAAAGACCCGGGTTTGATCCCCAACACTGCATAAAAATAGAAAATAGGGCCATTGAGATGCCTTAGTGAGTAAAGATGCTTGCCACCAAACCTGCTGACCTGAGTTCAAAACCTGGGACCCAAATAACAGAGGTAAGAGCCACCTCTGCAAGTTGTCCTCTGGCCTCTACATGCACCAAATATGTGTGCCCTCCTCATATACACATACAGCAAGTAAATGTCACTCAAATTTTAGGGACAGGCATGGTGTCCTGTACCTTTAATCCCAACACTAAGGAGGCTGAGGCAGGTGAATATCTGTGAGTTTCAGGTGAGCCTGGGATACTCAGTGAGCCCTTGTCTCATGAAAATAAACAAAAGAAATAACATTTAATAATAAAAGTTAAACAACTTAGGTGGTTCCACAATTTCCGATAAACAGAGTACGAGCAGGGGTCCCAGCCTGTGAGACCCCCATCAACCCCTAGCCACGTCTATGTGATCCCCTCACGCCCTGCCATCCCACCTAGATGTGGACGAGTGCAGCCATGACCCAAAGCCATGTGCCTTTCTCTGCAAAAACACAGAGGGCTCCTTTCTGTGTGCCTGCCCCCGTGGCTACCTGTTGGAGGAAGATCTCAGGACCTGCAAAGGTGATGTCCTTCCCTCCCCCAATCCTCCCCATCCTCTATCGGTCTCAAGACGCTCTGAGTTGTATAGAGTTGATCCTACCGCAGCCAGGGTATCTCTCTTGCCACCCCTCCAGTGGCAAACAGCACCCTGCTTGGAGCGGCAAGAGTGATCCCAGGCCCACACCTAAGCCTGGACCCATAAGACCCACTCACAATTATCCCCTTAACCCCTGTCCTTGAGCCATCACCTCTCAAACCTACCCCCTGAGCAGCCCCTCAAGCCTACTCGGCACTCTATACGTACACTCAACCCACCATTGAGTTACCGTCCTCAACCCCTTCTGAGCCCTGTCCCCTTAGCTGGTCCCTTACGACCCCAGGCTTGAGCACCTTCCTCAAGCTGACCCTTGAATCCTGTACCCTCAGACCCAGCCTCTGAAACTTCCTCTCAAACCACCCTCTAAGCCCACCCCATGTCTGCACACCCTCAAGCCTGTCTCCTCAGCGCTCTCCCAAGCTCCTCTGAGTACTGTCTTCTTAGCCTTCAAGTCCTTCGGCTAAGCTCCACCCTTGAGCACCCCTTGATCCCTACCCTCTGACCCTTTGGACCCCCTATACTGCAGACTTGGACGAGTGCACCTCCAGGCAACACAACTGCCAGTTTGTCTGTGTCAACACCATAGGCACCTTCGCCTGCCGATGTCCTCCTGGCTTCACGCAGCACCACCAGGCTTGCTTCGGTGAGTTGTGTTGTCTGCTTCCTACCCCGCTCTCCAACACAACCCTCACAACCCTAGCCTTCACGTGTGTGTGATACAAAACAGTGTCAAATGCTCAATGCTCATCATGTGTCAGGCATGGAGGACATGGAGGTAATTGGAATGCAGTCCCTGGATACTCGCATCTTGGTGGCATCTAGAATCTTCTTCATTGCCCTAGGGAGATGGGAGGCCTACCCTCAGAAATCCCTCTGGTCTAGGCCTGGGACTTCTCCCCTTGCCCGTGATCCATCCCTGCTGGGTCTCTCTTACTGAGCTTTCCCAAGGTGTTCTCCAAACTCCAGGAGTTTACACGAGCACTCTGGAGAAAGTAGTTCATAAGTCAAAGCCACAGAGCTAAGGCCTCTTGTGTCTTCTGGACCTGAGGGAACTAGAGCGCCCTCTAGTGCCAGCCTAGGCAAAGAGAGTACTCAGCCCTCCCCCAACCCTCCTGCTAGCACCAGCTGTGGTAATGATGTCCATAGACTATAAGATTGATGAACAAATGGGCCTGGAACTGACGTGTTAGTCTGTAAAAAGTGTCTGCTGCTCAAGCTATGAAGACCTGAGTTCAGATCCCCATCACTCGCTTTAAAAGCCAGGCACTTCTGGGGAGGTACAGAAAGTAGGATCCCAGGGCCTTGCTGGCCAGTCAGTCCAGTCAAATCAGTAAGTTCCAAGTTCAGTGAGAAACTCTCAACAAAAAAGTGGAATGATTGAGCAAGACACCTGATTGATGCCAACCTCACACACAGAAGCAGACACACACATTCCAATTTAAAAAAAAAATAATAATAAATGCACTGGGGCTAGGTAAAGAGCTTGCTGTGCAAACACAAGAACGCGAGAACTGGAATTCTGATGCCCAAAATCTACGTAAATGCCAGTAAGCACGGCGGCTGCCTGTTATTCCAGACTAGAAAGAGTAGAAAGGCGAAGACATGAAATCCTCAGAGGATTACTATGACTATCCTCATAGTCTTACTATGGCTAGTAAGACTAACCATATCGGGGAGCTCTCAGTGAACATGTGTGTGTGTGTGTGTGTGCGCGCGCGCACACACACACACACGTAAACACACATGCATGCACCCACAACACACACAAATGGAAAAACAAAAATTTCAAACAGACACTAGAGATTTCATGTTGCACAATTGTAGAGAGGAGAAGCCCAAGGTCCAGGCACCAGCACAGTTGGTTCCCAGTGAGAGCTTTTCCATCCCTAGCTTGCAGCCAGACACCTTCTTGCAGCCTCACATTGCCAGGAGTTGGGGTGTTCAGACAGATAGACAGACAGACAAGAGACAACAAGACTCTTGTCTGCTGGTGTCTCTTCTTTTTCTCGTTTTCTTTTTAACATTTATTTTTAACTATTCTTAATTTCCTTTTAACATGTATTTTACATGCAGGTGTGTGTTTGTGTGTCCATGGCATGTGTGGAGGTCAAAGGACAACTTTCAGACATTAGTTCCTTCCTTCCACCATGGGCTCCAGGAACTCAGCCACTCGGGCTTGGCAGCAAGCACCTTTACCAGCTTAGCCATCTCACCTGTGCCCCTCTTTTTTTTTTTTTTTTTTAAGATAAACAGTGTCTTGCTGACCTGTAGTTCACCAAACAGGCTAGGCTGGCTGGACACTACTACCACCTATGCCCAGCTTTTTCTTCTCTTCCCTAATAGTGTTTTACTCACTGAACCATCTTTTCAGCACACACACACACACACACATTTTTGGGGGTTGGTTTTGTTTTGTTTGGGACTTTACTTTTTTTCTTCTTTCTTTTTCCCAAGACAGGGTTTCTCTGTGTAGCCCTGACCATTGCCCTGAAGACCAGGCTGGCCTCAAACTCACAAAGATCTGTCTGCTTCGGCCTCCCATGTTCTGGGATTAAAGGTGTGTGTCACAATTGCCTGGCCTGAGGTCTTACTTATTTTTATTTCATGAGTATGGATATTTTGCCTGTATGTATGTATGTATATCACATACATGTAACGCTTGCAGGGGCCATAGATAGAGATTCCCTGGGACTGGAGTTATAGACTGTTGTTATCCACCACGTGGGCTTGCGAAATTGAACCAGGGTCCTCTGTAAAAACAGACAAAATGACTCTTAACCACTGAGCCATTTCTCAGCTCCACCCCTACCTTGTTTTCTGAGACAGTGTCATTAGGATCTGGAATTAGGATGAACTGGCTGCCCAGCCTCCAGGGACCACCAGCCTCTGGGGGTGATGACATAGCCCACATCTGGTTCTGAAGACGGAACTTAGGTCCTCGTGCGTGCACAGAAAACACTTAATGCCTGAGCTGGCTGCCCAGCCCTTCATTTCACTTTTTGTTTTGAGACAGGGTCTCTCTAAATTGACCTAGCTGACCTTGAACTTGTGATCCTTCTGCCTCTGGATCCTAAGTAACTGAGATTATGGGCCTGTGCAAGCACATCTGACTGCATATGGGTTTGTTGACTCTTTAAGAAAGCGTTGGGGATGTCAGGAGAGCATTTACTACTATGCCACACCCTCAGGCCAGTGTAGGTAATGTCTGACTCTCAGAGCTGGAACTTCTTAAACTCTAGCATGGTTAAATCCGCTGAATTCTCATGTAAAAATGCAAACAAGTAGCTACTTTCTCTGTTACAATGGAGGAGACTAGAGGAGTCAGCAACCCCAGGATGCACAGCCTTGAATTTCAAGCAATACACTTTACATTCAATACCCACTAACACTGTGCGATTCTGCGAGCTAGGAGCTATTCGTTTCTCATTTCACAGTGAAGGAAGCCAGCACGGGGGGGGGGGGGGTGACTCCTCTGAAGCCACGCTGTGCAGTGCCAACAGTAGCATTGTAGTCCTTCACGTCCACCCCTAACCACAAAGCAACCCTGCCCTTCTCTGTCCTCTATAGATGATGATGAGTGCTTGGCCCAACCTGGCCTCTGTGGCACCCACGGACACTGTCAGAACACCCCAGGCAGCTTCCGCTGTGAGTGTAATAGAGGTTTCGTGCTGGACAGCTCAGGCCACAGCTGTGAAGGTGAAGTAGCCTGTGAGTGGTTCTCAGTCTGAAGGATGACCCCCAAAACCGCCCACCAATCTTCTCTCTTTCTCTGTGTCTCAGATGTAAATGAATGTGACAGACCCCATCGCTGCCAGTTTGGCTGCCAAAACGAGCTGGGGGGCTACCGTTGCAACTGTCCCCAAGGCTTCACCCAGCATTCCCAGTGGGCCCAGTGTGTGGGTGAGTGGCAATGGCTGGGAGGAAACCAAGCATGTTCCAGGATCTTTCCAGTGCAGACAGTAGGAACCATTTCCCCTGCCGCTGTTATGACAAGCTTGTCCATCTATAAATAAAATGGACCAGCCTAAAAAGCTGACTACTGGGATGTCATTGGACTGCTGACCAAACATGGCATAAGGCTCAAATCTATTTGTTATAGAGTGGTGTCTTGACTACCTGGAAAAAGTGCAGCACCAAAAGACTACCAAGTATGCAACAGAAAGAATGTTGTGATTGATTAGCAATGTCTTCTACAGGCAGAGCAGCAAGGTTTGGCAATGCCTGCTGTAGATGCAATGGGAAGTATGATGTGATCGATTAGTCATGTCTGCCCTGAGTACAGCAATGCACCTCAAGACACACATGCTTTTATCTTTGCATCTTTGCCACATAAATTTCAGAAGCTCTTGAGTTAGTGAGCGTGCCTTCTGTATCACAACTTTCCCCCTTTTTTGCTGCCCCAGGCTCTTCTTTCAACAGCCTCATCTCTATCACTTTCTCCCATAGTCTTTTTGTGTTTTCTTCCCTGTAACCCCTTCCATATACCCCTCCTTTCGTTCTCTCCCAAAGCCATGACCTCTCTTCTCGTTAGTTGTGTTAAAGGCATATATGTATATGTAGCCTTTATCCTCTACCTTTGCGGAGTCCACTTGCTCTCCTGAGACCTGTGACGTCTCCTCAGCTCTTACTTTCACAGCTCTCACAAGCTTTGCAGCAGAGGATGGGAGTTGTGAAAGAGAATAATAGACAGGGGATAGAGGAAAACAGTCTGAGGACTTCCGGCAAGCTTACTGGAGGCTTTGCACAGTAAAGGGTACTTTGGTTGATTAGTATTGTTTATTGTGAATACAGAAAGTAGGGGATGAGACGCTCCTAGTATCATAGGCAGAGCCTAAGGATACTGCTCAATATCTCACAGTACTTGCTCCTACCACAGAATGACCTGACTCCACGTGAGAAAGCTTGTTCTAGAATAACCAACCACTTGGGATACAGGGGAGACTTTGAGAAATGCTTTAGGAGCCAAGAGTATACATAATAGGCAGTGGGTGGAGGAAGGCAAATATAGTTCTGGGAGGGTTGTCTTTTTTTATTGATTTCATTAAGCTATACATTTTTCTCCGCTCCCCTCCCTTCCTCTCCACTCCCCTTTTACCCTCTCCTTTGGTCACCATGCTCCCAATCTACTCAGGTGATCTTATCTTTTCTACTTTCCATGTAGATTAGATCCAAGTGTGTCTCTCTTAGGGTCCTCATTGTTGGTTGTTTTCTTTTGCTTTATGTTTAAAAAACACTTATGAGTGAGTACATATGATAATTGTCTTTTGGGGTCTGGGTTACCTCATTCAATCAATATGATGTTTTCTAGCTCCATCCATGGCAAATATAGTTTGAGAGTTCCTAATGAGTCTACTGGAGGCTTTACACAGTAAAGAGTACTGTGATTGATTAGTAATGTCTGCCATGGGTACAGACTAGAGTGGTGTGTATTCAAGTGAAAGGTTCCAGGCATACAAGGTTTCTTCCATTCTGTCCCTCCTTTTCTCTCTGCCTACAGATGAAGATGAGTGTGCCCTGTCACCCATGGCTTGTGGCAGTGCCTCTTGCTACAATACTCTTGGCAGTTTCTACTGTGTCTGCCCCTCTGGTTTCAGTTTCAACCAGGACCTTGGAGGCTGCCAGGATGTGGATGAGTGTGCAGAACAAGGCAGCCCCTGCAGCTATGGTTGTGCCAACACTCCTGGTGGCTTCTTGTGTGGCTGTCCCCAAGGCTACTTCCGGGCAGGACAAGGGTAAGAGGTTCAAGAGGGATGGGCAAGAGTATAGTGGTCACATTTTTCATGCCCTGATCACTAACATTGGGTTCTTATACCCACAGAATCCATTAACAAAGCTCCATCTGCCTGTGCATGTAGGTGCCTACATGCATACACAGAGAAGCCCAAGCACAGCCAGCCATTCATATGCCAGTATACATGAGTACATGTCTGTGTCATTAGTCCATTTTTTTGTTCAAGCTTGTATTTGCCCACTACTTGGAGATAATTATAGGCTATCCATAATCCAAGTTAGTACACATGAAGAAAAACATATGAACCCTCACACACAGAAATAAAATCCTCCCTCCATATTCATGGAAGATTGCTTCCTGTACCCCTCATATGTGATACAATTTCTGGGAGTCAGGAACAAAAACATCTACTCACCCCAGATATGGAACCAGCAACAGATCAAAGTAATGATACCATTAAATTCCAACTTGGTGAGCCCCTGAGTTAACTACTCACCAATGGGATACTTGAAGGAGTGTGGATAAGAAGTTATCTATAGAAACATAGATGACCCAAAGGCAGATACATCAATGAAAGCCCATAGACTGGAGGGATGGCTCAGCAGTTAAACGCACTGGCTGCTCTTACAGGGGTCCTGAGTTTAATTCCCAGCATCCACATGGTGGCTCACAACCATCTATAACTGTAGTCCCATGGGATCTGATCCCCTCTTCTAGTGTTCAGACATACATGCAAACAAAACACCCATATACATAAAATACATAAATAAATAAATCTTTAAAGAAAGAAGGAGAGAGAGAGAGAGAGAAAGAGAGAGAGAGAGGAGGGAGGGAGGGAGGGAGGGAGGGAGGGAGGGAGGGAGGGAGGGAAGATGGAAGGAAGGAAGGAAGGAAGGAAGGAAGGAAGGAAGGAAGGAAGGGTAAGCAGGCCCAACCTACATGAGGGCATCTGAAATCTTGGAATTCACTGCAAGATTTGCAGGCACCTTAACAGGATGGAGAGTCTCCTCAGCTTTCCTTGGTGCTTATATAACAGCGATGGGAGTAGGGGTCTTGTGCATCTAATAAGTTTTAGGTACCTCTTGAAACTTATGAGTTGCTTATTTCCTGTGCCTCATGGACCCTTCTTCAAGGACAGAATGATTCATCAACACCAAAAATTTGCTGTGCAATAACATCACCCCTATCTCATGGATACCCAAATGTAAGGCTATTCTAGTCCCTTGTATAAAATGACATGGCACGTGCACAGGACCTATACACACTCCTCCATATACTCTAAATCATCACAGGCTGGGGATGTCACTTGGTGGGTGGAATACTTGCCTCATACACCCAAAGTCCTGAGTTTTGTCTCAGCATTGTGTACACCAGTCATGGTGGTACACTCCTGTAATCCCAGCCCTTGGAAGGTACAAGCAAGAGGACCAGGAATTTAAGGTCATCCTCTGCTATACAGCAAATTTGAGGTTAGCCTGGGTAACATGAGACCCTATCTTGAAAATAAATAATCATCTCTAAATAATTTATATCACATGATATAATATAAAACAGTATATGTAACTGTTGCACTGTTTTATTAAGGGGATATTAACATAGAAAAGATGTCTAAATGTTCAGTAGGGAGTTAACTAAGACAGGCCTAACCACACAAAAGATCACAACACAGTAGACATCTTCTGTCCTTTGATAACCAGTTGAATATGAGGATGTAGAACCTGTGGATACAGAGAGTTGACTGTGCTTGTGCACAAGGGTTACTATACTCACATTATTAGCACACTCATATAGATTCATGCATCCCAGTGAGCACGGGTGTATGTACACACTATCTTCCATATACGCATGTAGGCTCTTAAATATACATGTTTCTGGATATACACAGATACATTCTTCTATTCTATTGCATGTTCATCATCCCATTCTTGTGTTTATACCAATGCCCAGGTAAACCAAGGGACACACATCCCTCCTGTAGGTGTGCACACATGCACATACACAACCATGCCAATACACACACATGCATATTTGTATGATGGTGCCTGTGCCCACAGCTCAGAATGAGGCATGATGGGAGATGGTGAGGGAGGTAATACCAGCCTGTTTCTAAAAGTTTTCCCCATACCATCTATCTGGCTCAGACACTGCATCTCTAGCCCTGGGTTCAGCTCTGGATCTCAGGCCACCCCAGATGAGGAAGAGTCACTCTCACCTGAAGCCTGCTATGAATGCAAGATCAATGGTCTCTCCCCTCAGGACCGACCAAGGCGCAGCACCCATGGAGATCATCAGGTGCCATGGGGGCCACACTGGGAGGGTCAATTAAGGAGTCTTCGGGTGTCTGAAGGAGACTGTGATCCCTCAAGAGAGAACACTAGCTCTAGGAATGTAGCTTAGCTGATAAATTATTTGCCTAGCATGAATGAGGTCCTGGATTCAAACCCCAGCACTGCATAAAAATAGACATCTTCAGCTCCTAAGTATGGTTGAGACTAGCCTAGGCTACATGAGACTCTGTCTCAAAAGGGGGAAGAGAAAATCAGGCAACCATTAGACTATGTGACTCAGCTTCTCCCTCATATCATGGTGCCTGACTGGATCCTCTACACATTCTCAGCCCGTGCCTTTTCTGGGGAGCATATCCCTTGGTCACTTTATCTCATTCCTGTGACAGTTAAGGCTCCTTCTAGACATATCCTAAGCAATCTGTAATAACCAAATGGGGAGAAAAAAAAGTCCCTGCCCTCATGATACTCTGATGGAGGAAAAAGAAATCATTAAGTAAAATATAGCATGCTTTATAACATATGAAAAATGAGCCATGTAACAGAGAGAAATAAAGCCAGAGTGGGATGGGCATGTTAGGGCTGAGAGACTTTCAACGTATAGTTAACTAATATGAATGGATTGTGAGTTACTTTGTCTTCTGTTTTCTTCAGTTGGTATTTCCTTTGTTTAAGAAAAACTTTTCATGTAGAAACTATTCCACATTTACTTTTATGTGTCACTGCACTGCCAGCCTTTGGTTTTCAAGGAGAGTAGAATGGTTGCTGAGGATCCTGGAATGGACATAGCATGATTTAGAGAGAGGGATTTGCATTGTCTTTGCTTGCAATACCATTGATTGCCAGGAGGTGTCAATAAAAGCATGTGTTGTTTTGAGGAGCATGCCCCTCAGAAAGATTTCCCAGAACCAGGGGCAGAGAGGCTGAAATAGCTTTCTCTCAAAAGTAACGGCAGACCACTCCACAGGCATGTAAATGAGGTGAAACAAACACGGCACAACCCACAGGGGGAAAAAGTAAACACAGATAACCCTTTGTGGAATCAGCTACATCACCCAGCCTGGGGTGGCCTGCCATTGAGGTTCATTGGCTTATTGAGGGTACTGTCTTGCTGCCAGGACCATGAAGGCACTTCTGAAGAGCTCAAATAAAGAAGGGCTTGTCATCTGTACACAAGGTCCTCTCAGAGAAAGCCAGATACAGGAAGTACAATGGAAGCCAGCGGAAGGCTCTTCTGAGGCCTCTCCTTGCTCTCTTTCTGTCCTAGCTGGATATTCTGTTTGTATCTCCGTAGATTCTGGCATCTTTTTAGAGATGTAGGTTTTTCTTGCCAAAAAAAAAAAAAAAAAAAGCCCTTAGTTATAACACCAGTCCACCAGTCCCATAGGCTGCCTCTGAACCCCCTTAGGGCTCTGGAACTGCATGTTGCCTGCCTGACCTGTTTGCTGCGTTTTCAAGGCAAATCTTTGATTACCTTAACTGTTGCTTTTCTTATTTGTTTTGTTTTTGGTGTGTGTATATCTGTCGGTGTCTGTGTGTCTATGTGTATCTTTCTCATACATGGGGTTGGGGGAGACACACATGAAAACATGTGCTCAAGAATACCATATCTGGAGACAAGAGGTCATCACTGTCATAGAATTTTTCCCCACCTTTTTTTTTTTATTTTAAATGTATTTACTTAGACATAGTAGTGATTGTGTGCGTATCCATTCATGCATAAGACAGGGATGTGGAAATCAGTGAACAACTGGTAGGAATGAATTCTCTTTCCTTTTCCATGTGGGTCTAGGGAATCAAACTTAGGTCCTCAGGTTTCACAGCAAACTCCTTTACCTGCTGAGCCATCTCGTGGGACAGATTCTCTCTCACTAAACCTGGAGCTCACCGTTTGATTATACCACTGGCCAGCAAGCCCCTGGCATCCTCCTCTCCCCTCCAAGCAGTGTGACTGTGGGAGTGTGCCACCACACCCAGCTTTCTACATGGATGCTGGAGATCTGAACTCAGATCTTCATGCTTGACAGCAAGCACTTCACCACCTGAGCATCTCCTGAATCTTTCTCCTCCTGCCTTTGTTGTTGTTGTTGTTGTTGTTGTTGTTTGTTTTTTCCATCAAAGAACCAGATTTGGCATTTGCTGTTAGGGCCTTAGCTGATCTTGGCCTCGTTCATAGATTGCTAGAAACCAGGAACCAAGCATATCTACTTGCATCCTTGTTTGCACAGTCTCTGACAGTTCACTTGGTCCCTCCCCCTAGGTTAGCCTGGATACCCTTGACGCGGAAGTCCCCTTGACATTGAGCCTGAACATCTCACACCTAGGCCAAGTCAAGCACATCTTAGAATTTCGACCAGCTCTTGAGAGTCTGGTAGGCCAGATCCGTTATGTTATTGCCAGAGGCAACAACCAAGGTTTCTTCCAAATGAGTCACCTGGCTGGCGTCAGCTCCCTGCAGGTTGGCCCTGGGAGACCAAGACCCGGGAAATACCAGCTGGAGGTGGTGAGTATAGCAGGAGCTCAGGGCCAACCAGGGCCAACAAACCAAGCCTTGCGGCTAACAGTCCAACTGCAACTGCTCTAGCAGAAAGAATTTTCAGTGCACCTAGATGTCCCATGACATCTGAAAGTGCATATTTTGCAACTGGCTAGAACTGATCTCGGAGGCAATGGCTTAGCAAGTTGAACCTCAAAACTCAGGAAAAGGGAAGCATTACACTCTGACCTCAGATGAACTCAGTCTTTGCAAACCTGGGGGACCCCCAACACCTCAACCTCTCCTGGACTCAGCTAGAAATCTCAGCATTCATCCCTCCACCCCACAGCCAAGGTCAGCAGCAGGAAGGACCCCTGGTGTTCACTACTCCTCGTCTTCCTCAAGCTAAAATTTCCAGACTATACTATGATTCGCCAAGGGTGTTGGTGGAACATGGGAATAAGTGTCTAGGGTGGGTGTGGGGTTCATCCCTCAGAGAATCAAAATGGAAAAGCCTTACCTGCCACATCTTGACTAGCAGATTCATTCCCCAGAGTCAGATCCAGGGTTCTAAAGATACTTTTCTTTGAAACTGGAGAAAACAATAAAGTCCTTGGGGGTTAAATCTGCCTATGGTGTTCTCAAATAAGTAGATGCTATCTCCTCTTACAAAAGCCACACACACACACACACACACACACACACACACACACACACACTTGGGGAAGCTGGAGGACCCAAGTTGGTGCTGCCAGAAACAGACTTGTCTCACTGTCATAAAAAAGAACCTTATGTTATTAAAACATCTTATATGTCATGTTCTGTAGATCTCTGAAGTGCTTAAAGACCACATGTGTATCTAAAATATATCTCAGTTTAATCCTAAAAACATACCGAACATGATTACAAGTTTGATTATAATAGGTGACTAACTACTAACCAGAATTTCTATATCACCCTAAATGGTTTGTAATAATAACTTTCAAGGACTAGAAACAAGCTATATAAGTGCAATACCTAAAACAAGAGTAGAAACGTAGCTACAGTAGGTTCTAATAAAAATAACTTTAAATTTGCATTAGTAGACAAATATCTTAAACAAGAGTAGAAACATATATCCAATATAACAAATATAACTTTGAATTTGTATCCAAAAATCCATAACAATATAAAATTTTTAAGACTAGTAGTTGTTTTTGTGGTTAAAAGTAGATTCAATAATCTACCCTTTTATCCTGTCATTTCTATATCATAGCACCCTTTCTTCTTTTAGAAAGAGATTGACTATGATCAATAACAATTTGTAATCAACCCCCTTATATGAAAGCAAACATTCATAACAATATTTTGGGAATTTGGGCATAGTTGTCTAGAGTACTTCCTGTTGATTGGTGGGCACTGGTCATCTTTGAAGGACCCTGAGAAAATCAGGATAATTGTTAAGTCTTGGCTGGAGTATTCTGTGAGGATGACTCATCTCAGTCAGTAGCCAGGAAGCTGTTCTGGATGTTGGATCACCTGGGCTATCATTTTCACTGGTGTCTGGTCTCTTTACTATAAAAATATATAAACTTTTAAAGGCAACATACACATCTGTATTAATACAAATATAAACTGTGTATTGTACAAAGCCAGCTGAAGGTAGTTTTTTGTTTTTTGTTTGAGCAGGTAAAATATGCATCAGTGTCCTATAGTTACTTTAGGTTTATTTTCCCGTGTCTATAGTCAGGATTTTTAGGGGGCTGTTCCTCAATCACTTAACCCAGAACGAATCCAGAGCTTCTCATTTCCTGTGGAAACAAAAGCATAACCTCTTTTCCAAAGTAGCATATCTTTTGACTTGTTTGAAGTCGAGACATTTTTTAAATATATAGGTTGGTTTAATCCAGCAGCATTTATAATCAAATATCTTTTAGTAGCTTTTGTTCCTTTCTCAGTAGTTAAGCAGCTTAAACATAACACATAGTATCCATACTCTCTGTGTTTTCCATCTTATGTGGCTTATTTTCTTTGTATTGATTTATTTTCTTTTTGAGAGTTTCACTTTATTATTTTTAAACTATATTTTTAATCTATGACTGTATGACTCTTTTTTCTCCCAAGTCTCTCTCTCTGTGTGTGTGTGTGTGTGTGTATTTTAAATACTGTAATTTTACTATGTTAAAGTTAAAACTTCCCTTTTTTGGTAAAAATCTTTTTATTAATTTTTATTGAGCTCTACATTTTTCTCTCCTCCCCTCCCTGCCTCTCCCCTCCCCTTCAACCCTCTTCCAAGGTCCCCATGCTCCCAATTTACTCAGGAGATCTTGTCTTTTTCTACTTCCTATGTAGATTAGATCTATGTATGTCTCTCTTAGGGCCCACATTGTTGTCTAAGTTCTCTGGGATTGTGATTTGTGGGCTGGTTTTCTTTGATTTATGTTTTAAAACCACTTATGGGTGAGTATATGTGATAATTGTCTTTCTGGGTCTTAGTTTCTTCACTCAAAATGATGTGAAACTTTCCTTTTTGATTAGACATAAAAGTGGAAATGCTGTGGGATGATCCTCCATATGCTGTGAATACATGTTGCTCTCATTGTTTGATAATAAAAACTAACTTGTCCTATGGCCAGGCAGAACAAAGCAAGGCAGGAAAACCAAATGGAAAGACAGGGAGAAAGAGGGGCAGAGTCAAGAGAAATGTGAGCCAGCTACCCAAGAAACAAGATGTCAGTGGACCAGTAATGCCACAGCCATGTGGCAATACATAGATTAATAAAAATGGTTAATTTGACTGGAAGAGCTAGTTAGTAATAAGCCTGAGCTATAAGCCAAATACTACAATTAATATTAAGCCTTTGAGTGATTATTTAAAAACAGTTGTGGGATGGGGGAGCAGAGACAGAGAAACCTCCATTTACACAAACCCCAAACTAGGCTGACAGTGGCAGCCTTTCTGGGCCCTGGTGGTTTTTCTGGTATTCATTTGTTTGCTGTTTGTCTTGAAACTCTGAAGAATAGACAAGTATTCACAGAGTCCCCATTTGATAGGCAGAACAACTGATGCTCAGAGAAGTTAAGGAACATGGTCATGATCAGGCAGCTGTACTAGCAGCCATGCTGTCAGTCACTGTGCCTGGCTCTGACTCAATGGCTAGACTATGTGTCATAATAATGAACTCTCTGCAACTTGAGGGCACCTTTCAAATACTAGTATATTTGGTAGCCATCAAGCCTAGCCAAGGAAAGCAGTATTATCACATGGATACTGAGGTTTAGAGAATGCATGGGAGCCTGCTGTGATCACCACATATTGCAGAGGCTAGAGCCTGATGTTTTAGTTTTTGTTGTTATTCTTTGTTTGTTTTATATTGTTTTGTTTTTGAGGTGGGGTATGTGTGTGTTTCCTGATGCTATATTCTGAAGCCTGGCTCCAAACCACAAAAAAAAATCTCTCTACAAAGAAAACATTTGTTTTAGGATTGATTTTTGTTTTCTGTGTGTGTTGATGTTGCTGTGTTGTTGTTTGGTGGTAATAGGAAATGAACCCACAGTTTTACTTTAGAAATGCTAGGCAAGCATTCTACCACTGAGCTACATCCCTAGTTCTTTTTTTTTTTAGAAACGTTTATTGATGTTTTAAATAGGATCCCTGGCTGGCCTGAACTCTCTTTGTAGACCAGGCTGGTTTTAAACACATAGAGATCTGCTTGGCTCCACATTCCTGAGATTTATGGTTTGGGAGATATGGTGGTTTAAATAAGAATGGCCCCGCAGGCTCATATATTTGAATGTTTAGTCATCAGGGAGTGGCGTACTCAAGAAGGATTAGTAGTTGTGGCCTTGTTGAAGTAGATGCAGCCTTGTTAGAGGAAATGTATCACTGGAGTGGGCTTTGAGGTTTCAAAAGCCCAGTGGCTCACTCTCTCTCTGCCTCTCTCTCTCTCTCTCTCTCTCTCTCTCTCTCTCTCTCTCTCTCTCTCTCTCTTCGTGCTGCCTGTGGATTCAAATGTAGAACTCTCAGCTACTCCAGCACCTTGTCTGTCTATGTACCACCATGATCCTGCCATAGTGATAATGGACTAAATCTCTAAACCTGTAAGAGAGCCCCAACTAAATGCTTTCTGTGGCCATGGTGTCTCTTCATAACAATAGAAAAAACTGAAAAATGAAACTTATGTCCTGACAATGCTGAAGCATGCATGGGCAGCCCATCTATGGTGGTTCTGTTGAACTTGTCCATGTTGGGTTTCGTGGTCTAAGTTGATGAGGACGATTGATGCTCTCTTTCTGAAAGAGACCATAACAATAGAACACTGACGAAAACAGGAGGGTTAGATTCCATGTTGGCTGAGCAAAAGCATAGTGGCAGGAACAGCTGAGAGCCTACAGCAGGCCCAAAGCACACTAAGAATGGTTGAATCTTTTGAAACTTCAAAGCCTGCTCCCATGACATACCGCCTCCACCAAGGCCACACCTCATAATCCTTCCCAAATACTTTTTACCAAGTGCAGATTATGTATTCAAACACATGAGTCTATGGGGGTCATCCTCATTCAAAACACCACAATTCCCAAAAATTGGTGGAAGCAAAGCTCAACAACCAACCTCTATCTGCAGTCTCTAGTGTCTGGCCCCAGAGCTCTATTCTTGCTCAAAGTCTGACCCAGTGACCTCGGGGCATCCCATTAGGGCTAGCAGAAAGCCTCTTCATGCATTATCCAGATCTTCCATAGCCCCCAGAATCTGGACATGGCAAACACAATGACCCATATTTTACAGAGAAATTCAACACAGACACTGAGATTAAGATTTTGACCTTGAGTGATATGGTGGCCCACACCTTCAGTGGGCCACACACTTTAGCACTGGGGAAAGAGAGGTAAGCAAATCTCTGTAATTTCAAAGCCATCCTGGTCTACATAGCAAGTTCCAGTCTAGTCAAGAATACACAGTAAGACACTGTTAAAAAAATAAATGAAAAGATTTAGACCAAGAGGCCAGCAAGATAGCAAGATAGCTCAGTAGATAAACATGCTTGCCATACAAGACTGACTTCTTGAGGTCAGTACCCAAACCCCAAAGTGAAAGAAGAGAACCCACTCCCTAGGTTGTGTTCTGAACTATGCACACCCACCACCACCATCCCACAACAACAATGAATAAATGAATAGCTCTAGACAGAGAGCACAGGGTGTAATTCAGCTAGCTGTAGAGTGCTTGCCTAGTACACAGCCCTGAGCTAAAACCAGAGCTACATAAATTAGGGGTCTCATTTTATCAACCAAGTAAGGAAGCAATGGTCCAAGGTCAGGTCACCTCCACCCTTCCAGGGGTCATTCCCCAAGGAGGAAGACTATTATAAGACTAGAGCACAAATCTTCTGTAAGAGAATTAACATGTAATTCAGCCCAGGCTGGGGCATTGCCCAGTAAAGCATGACAGGAACCTGAGGCAGGAGGGTGCAAAGATGAAGGCCAGCCTATACAAAGTGAATCACTGTCTCAAAAACAAAAAATAGGGCTAGAGAGATGGCTCAGTTGAAAAATTCTTGCTAGATAAGCATGAGAAACTGAGTTCGATCCCTAAGAGCCACACTTTAAAGACAAAAAGACCAAGGCACCGTGGCAGGTGGTATGCCCCTGTAATCCTAGCACTGAGGAGGCAGAGCAGGGGTTCTGTGGCTGTTCTAAGCTAATCGGTGATCCCTCAGCCAAATGAGAGACCCCATCTCAATAAAATCAGGACTAGGGATGGGTAGCTGGTGAGACAGCCCAGGGAGAAGGCACTGGCCCGCAAGCTTGATAGCCTTCATGGTGAGAGGAGAGAGATGACTTCTGCAAGTTTCCCTCTGGCTCCTACACATGTTCTGTGGCACACACACTTCAAAATTTAATAACTTTTTGAGACAGAGTCACACTATGTTGCCATGGAAGGACTGAAACTTGCTATGTAGACCAGACTGGCCTTAAGCTCATAGAGATCTGTCTGCCTCTGCCCTCTGAGTCCTGGAATTAAAGTCTGTGCCAAGATTCCCAGCCACAATTTTTAACTCTTTGTTGTTCTTGGTAACAAATAAACTCAGAAAATACAAATTTAAAAAAAGAAAAAGGAGAAGAGGTTGCTGAGGGGAGTGGTTGAGAAAGTGGGTATTGGAGAAGTTAAAGAGGAGAGTTAGTGGTGAGAATGATCAAAATACATTGTATGGAATTCTCAAAGAATTAATTAAATCATTATGTGTTTCTTTTAAAAAGGAACAAAAAACCAAGGCAGATAGTGTCCTGAAGAGAAACCACCCATGATCGGCACACACATACACAAACATGCACACATGTACACACACACACACACACAGGTAAAACACCAGGGGCAGAAATGATGGTTCAATCCCCAGCACTTCATAAACTGAGCATAGTGGTCCCCACATGCAACCTCGGCACTCAGGAGGAGGAGGCAAGAGCATCAGAGGTTCAACATCATCCTCAGATACCTAGTAAGTTTAAGGCCAGCCTGAGCTACATGAGATTCTATCTCAAAAAAAAAAAATTGAACTATTTGAGGGCTTGGGATAACTCAGTAACAAAGTGATAAGATGCTCAAGGCTTTGGGTTCTATTCCAAGCACACACACACACACACACACACACACACACATACACGCATGCACACAACCCACCAAACCCTCCCCCCCTCAAAAAAAAAACCTGTATGGTTAAAGAAGAGCTTGAATTCCTGATCCTCCTCCCTCCCTCTGTGCTGAATGATGACTGAGAACCTCTACCACACCCAGTTTATGCAGGTATGAGATGAAAACTGAGGCATCATCAATGCTAGACAATAACTCTACTAAATGAGCCACACCCTGGGCCCCTAGAAGCAACTTTTGTTCTAACAGTTGGTCTTTGACCCCAAATCCTGACACAAAGCTCCAAAGACCTCGGGATTTGCTGCATGGGCTGAATTCCCTGAGTGTGTCAAAGGCTGGTCACAAGGAAAAGTGAGCCATGGATTAGATTTCTGCTCCACACAGGGGAGAAGAGTTGAAAGTACAGTTAATAATCAATCATGCTGTGTAGAAACATGTCCATAAAAATATCGAGCTGAGAGGTTCAAAGGGTTTCTAGATTGGCAAATACATCAGTGCGCCAGGAAAGTGGTGCATCCCTGCTGTGTGACACTTTTCCTGGGGAGACCTGAAAAAGCATCTACTCACCCCAGATAGAGAACTGCTACAGAAAAAAAGTAGCAATGCCCCAAAGTCCATCTTAACAAACCAATAGGTTTACTGGGCTTCCTTATAGAAGCAGAGTGAGGGCTTATGATGTGGGATGTCCTTCTGTAAATGTGTGGCTTTTATTGATTGATGAATAAAGCTGTTTGGGCCAATAGCTTAGCAGAGTAAAGCCAGGTAGAAAATCCGAACAGAGAGATAGAGAGAGAGTAGGCAGAGTTGAGGGGATGCCATGTAGTCGTGGAAGGAGAAAGATGCCAGAACATTACTGGTAAGCCACAGCCTTGTGGCAATATATATAGATTAGTAGAAATGGGTTAATTTAAGATGTAAGAGCTAGCTAGGAATATGCCTAAGCCATTAGCCAAACAGTGTTGTAATTAATATAGTTTCTGTGTGATTATAGGGGTCTTGGTAGCTAGAAAATGAAAGTCCAATCTTCCCTTACATGGTTACTTACAATAGCAATAGTGAGGGCTTACTTACAGGACCATGAGTGAGGGCTTACTTATAGCAGCATGAGTGGGGACTTACAGGACCATAAGTGGGGGCTTACTTACAGGATCATAAGTGGGGGCTTACTTACAGGACCATGAGTGAGGGCTTACTTACAGGACCATGAGTGGGGGCTTACTTACAGGACCATGAGTGGGGGCTTACTTAAAGGACCATGAGTGGGGGCTTACTTACTTTGTATGGCTCAAAGGCAGTTATATCACTGAAAACCCATCCTGGCCCGAGTGCAGATTCACAAAAGCTTCTGCAATCCCAGCACTCCCTGCACAACTCTCAAGTTGGAGAGTCTCCTCTCCTCAGCAGTCCTTACTGTTGCTTGTATAAGCTCTGCGAGGAAGAGGCCTTGTCACCGGGTAAGTTTCAGGGACTTTCTGAATCTCAAGAACCATCCCCCCAGGATGAATATGGAAGTTAGAGGACAGAATCAGATGTCAACCCTCATCTCACACCTTGCTTGAAACAGAGTCTGTTGCTCGCTGCTGATTATAGCCATAGCTCATCTTCCAGGGGCATCTCCTGTCTCCCATCTTACTACCGGAGCTCTGGGCTTACAAACACACACTATCACATCCAATTTTACTTGTTTCTGGGGATTTGAACTCAGACCCTCACACTTGCATAGCAAATTCTTTAACGCTGAGTCATCTCCTCAGTCCTGTTTTGGTTTAGTTTTTATTTATTTGTTGTTTGTTTGTATTTTGAGACAGAGCCTTGCTATGTATCCCACGCTAGCCTCAAACTTGCACTATAACCCAGATTGGCCTGAAGCTTGTGATTATCCCACCTAGACTCTGTGGTAGTTTGAATGCAATTGGACCTTATAAGCTCATAGGGAAAGGCACTATTAGGAGGTGTGGCCTTGTTGGAGGAGGTGTATCCCTGTGGGAGTGGGCTTTGAGGTCTCATATATGCTGAAGCTACACCCAGTGAGACAGCTCACTGCCTATTGCCTTTGAGATCAAGATGTAGCTTCCTCATTCTCAGCTCCTTCTCCAGCACCACATCTGCCTGCATGCTGCCATGTCCTGCCATGATGACAATGAACTAAATCTCTGAACTGTAAGCCACCTAATTAAATGATTTTCTATATAAGAGTTGCCATAGTCATGGTATCTCTTCACAGCAGTAGAAACCCCAACTAAGACAGACTCCTTCAGCAACACCAACCCTAGATCATCCATAGCCTTTATAACATCCTATAGAATAATCAAGAAATATAAGAAAAGTGATTCCCTGACTCCTGGGAACTGATCACCTAGCAAAATTGACTGAATAAAATAGGGGTCACAGGAACCCTGATTTATAGCAGGTAAATCTGAAATACTGGCATTAACTTCCTGAGAGCATTCTACATACCAGACATCACTGTGAGTAATTAGGTGGTTGTTGTTGTTTGAGATAGGGTTTCTCTGTATTGCCCTGGCTGTCCTGGAACTCACTGAGATCTGCCTTCCTCTGTCTCTCAAGTGTTGAGATTAAAGGCATTTGCCATCACCACCCGGCTCAAGTAATTAGTTTTTAATGGCTTTTACATTTTTTATTTTTAATTCTTTGACCATTTCACAAATATAGGCATTTTGACCATTGTCACACACATCCTCCTCTAGTCCCCTCGGTCCTTTTGAATGCTTTCTTCCTAGCAAGCCCTGCCCCTGCTTTTGTCCCTCTTTTCCTTTGTGTGTGACTCACTGCATTTGATTAGGGTTGCTTGTATGAGCATGGGTGGGGGGATTGTACACTGGACTATGGCAACACTTCTGGGAAAAAAGACACCCTTCCCCCAGCAATCATCAACAGCCAATAGCTCCTCGGCATGGGGTAGGGCTCCAGAAATCCCTCTCTCGTCCATGCTGAAACGTTGCTGGGTCCAGTCAAGTACAGGTAACTGTAGCTCCTGTGAGTTGATGAGTTCAGTGGTCATGTCATGCCCTGAAGACAGCACTTCAGGGGACTCCTCTCATTCTCCAGACGGTGCTCACTCTGAGTAACTTAATGGGTGATCTTTCTGGTCATCCTCACCACCCTGTAAAATAGACAGTGTTAGTATTGTCCCCCTCCTACAGATGGAAAAAACTGAGGCTCTGAGAGTTTGAGTTTTCAATGGGTCAGTCTTACGTGACTGTGTCCTTAACCTGTGGAACCATATATGGTCTGCACAGAAACAGTCAGAACTACACTGAACTAAATTACAGGACACAGGTATCTTCTTGATTCATGAGGAACATCTTCTTTCAGATCTGGCATCAGATGTGTTAAATTGAGGCCTAATGAGATTGTTCAGCAAGCAGAGTTGCTTGCCATGAAACCAGATGGCCAGAGGCTGATCTCTGAGACCCATGTGGTAGGAAGAGAGAAGCAACTCCCAACAGTTGTTTCTAGCCTCCACTGGCTCACAGTGGTATATCACTCATACACACACACCCAAGCGCGCACGTGTGTGCACCCAAGGCACACATACAATGTGCATGTGTGTGTGTGTGTCACATTGAAGCCAAGCATGGTAGCAAATGCCTATAACTCTAGGTATTTTAAAGGTTAAGGTAGAAGGAGCTAAAGATTCAGCCTAAGCTACAGAGTAAATTCAAGGTTAAGGTGGGCAATTTAATAAAACCTTGTCTCAAAATGCAAATTATAAAAAGGCTGGGGGAAGTGCTTACTAGCCTAGTATGGGAAGCAAATGTGAATGGTGTGAGGAGAAGGCACTTTCTGTTCTGCCTATGGTTGAGCGGCTCTTGGCCCACCTCCCTGGTATTTCATGTTAACATTTATTTGTGCCCCCTAAGCCATGCTAAAGGCATGAACATAGGATGTCAGGGTGTGACCACACAACCTACAGCTGACTCCATGCTCCTGGGAGTAGACCCCATCAGCAAAGTGATGGATGGAGGAAGGTCGCATGACCAACAGTCCTTACCTAGGCCGGCCTAGGGTGGCATTCCTCCTGCTGGTAATTCTGAGGTTCCCTAACTTGGACTTTGCATGATTTGACTTCTTTCTTTCAGTATGAGAACCTGCTGGAAAATTGAGAAAGAAACAGGTAAGTGTTCCAACAGGGGCTGTAGAGATGGCTCTGAGATTAAGAGAACTTGCTGCTCTTACAGAGGACTGGGGTTGAATTCCTAGCACCTACATGATGGCTCACAACCATCTATAACTGCAGTTCCAGGAGATCTGATATTTTTTTCTTTCCTTCCCAGGCACCACGCCCACTTTTGAGCACATACATAAAATCAAACATTCATACACAAAATTAAAACCAATGAATTTTATTTTATTTATTTATTTTGGTTTTTCCAAGACAGGGTTCCTCAGTATACATCTGGACGTTCCAGAACTTGCTCTGTAGACTAGGTTGGCCTTGAACTCACAGAGATCCACCTTTCTCTGCCTCCTGAGTGCTGAGATTAAAGGTGTGCACCCTGCTTGAATTAAGCCAATCTTAAAATGGCAAACATTTTGTTTTTTTTCTCATTTATGGTTCCTACATTTTATATAGTCTAATAAAACCATGTCTGTATGAATTAAAGTAGAAATGAAATGAAACTCTTCAGGGAAATGGAGAAAGTGGGAGAAGAAGATGTTAGAAAAAGGAGGACAAATTTCCAGTCAGGGATGGTGCACACCTTTAATCCCAGAACTGGGGAGACAGAGGCAGGTGGATCTCTGTGAATTTGGGGCCAGCCTGGTCTACAGAGTGATTTCCAGGACAAACAGAGCAGCTTTCTTGTCTCAGAAGTTAAAGGGGAAAAAAAGGTAGTACAGAGGAGTGGGCGATGGGGGTGGGTGTTCAATACACAATATATTTATTTTTCTCCATTTTTATCTATTTATGGTATATGTAGGGTAAAAGGACCAAGGAAAGAAATCTTGACCCTGACTTGACCCCCCATCACCAGCCTGAGACAAAAAATTCTACCAATCCCTGAACACAAAATCCCACCAATCCCAAGATCAGACCACAAATTTCCTACCAATCCCAGGCCACCCTGGATAGCCCTCCCCACCCCCGCCCAAGAAACCATGTATTACCCTGTCTCCTGCCAAGTTTCCTGCTGCTTCTTGCACAAACAGAGGCAGCCACTCTCCTTCCTGTGCTTTTCCAAATAGATCTTTTGTGTGGCATTTGTTGAGTGGTACAACTTTGTGGTATTTCTTGGCTCCCAACTGCCAGGATACCTTTCCCTTCTGAGCTGTAACACTTTACAGTGTGCACGTATGTGAGCATGCACTTTTTCCTCACATGTGTGGGTGCACATGCACATGTGTGCCTGTGCATGTGGAGGCTCTCAATTGTCAGAAATTATGCTCCATTGCTCTATGACCTTATTCATTGAGGCAGGGTCTCTCAATCAAACCCAGAGCTGCCAGCTTGCTAGGTGGGTCCCATTTCTCCATGCTATGAGGCTGGAATTACGGGAAGACCACCACACCCACCCAACATTTACATGGATTCCTAGGGATCCAAACTCCAGTCCTCACACTTGCATGATTAGCAGGTGACCTAACTCCCCAGCCCCTGAAAATAAACTTAATTTACTAATTAAAACAAGGATGTACTGGAGAGACAGCTTAGTTGGTTAAAGTGCTTGTCATATAAGCCTGAGGACCTGAATTCTATTCAGTTCAGTAAGAGGCTCTTTCTCAAGGCAGTAAAGGCAGAAGAGCAATAGGAGGTTTGACCACCATATGTATAATGACGTACTCATGCATGCGCGTACACACACACACACACATTGAAAATAAAATGGAACCGTTAGAAATATTTCTTAGTGGTAGCACGCTTGTGTAGCATATTCAAGGGCCTGGATTCAGTGCACAGCACTGAAAGGGAGAAAACGTGGAAAGCTCTTGAGGAAGGACACGTGAGGTTGCTGCTGCACAGGAGCTGGGTGTTGACGCAACTGATTAGCTATTCGCTCCATCTCTGACTCACTAGCAACTGACTCTTTGAAGAGAGTCAGCTAGCAGCATGTTAGCATGCTGAGCTCTTTTCCTTCTTGAGCTGTTGGCTGGGGTCTTACCTACCTGGGGTGCACTTCTTGGGACTGCCAACTGGCTTGTTCCTAGGCAACAAGATCCTCTTCACGTCCTTATCCTCCGGGTTCGCACACACCGGGCCTTTCTGGCGGAAGTAGAATCTACAGAGGGTCGAAAGGTGGGTACCAGGTCAGGGCATGAGGATCTAAGGTAGGCATCACTCTCACCCAGCAACACCAAAGGTCCTGCTCACATCACAGCTGGAAGATTGCAGCTCCCACTCACTTCCTGCTTGCGATAACACTTAGCACGCTTGAGAATACTCCATCTGAGATTGGATTGGTAACCCAGGCAGCAGTCTTCAAAGGCACCTACAGAGGCAAGTGAGATGGCTCAGTGGGTAAAAACGCTTGCTACCTTAAATTCAATCCCTAGAACCTACATAGGAGAGAATCACAAATTATCCTCTGACCTTCACAAACATGTAGCAGTGTGTGTGTGTGTGTGTGTGTGTGTGTGTGTGTGTGTGTGTACGTGCGTGTCTGTGGCTGACTGGGTCATAGGCCCTAAGTAAGAACCTAATACTATTATGCTAATAAATAGACATAGTAATAAACTGTCCCCTACATTCCTATCCATATAAGTTATACCCTCATCAGTAAAGCTTCTTTTTGTAGTAGATGGCAGTTATCCAGAAGACCCACAACCGATCAACACTCAGGGTAAGAGACTGTGGAATTTCCCACTACAAATGAGACATCTGTATCATACTCCCTCCCCACAAGATTCAGGGATTATCTCAGAAGAGGGGGCAGAAGAATTGGAAGACTCAGAGGAAGGGGGCGTCTTCACGGAAAAAAAATGTTTTCTGGGCATGATGATGATGATGCACATGTCAGTCATAGGAGCTGTGATGAGCGCACAGACCCACACAAGATCAAGACAGATGGAATCTCAGCATGGGTGGCTGGGGAGCTCAAGTCTGACCCCCATCTGAGGAGCTATTGGAAACTGATGGTTGCTAGGAAAGGCTTGGTTTTCTTCGGAATCGTGGTCCCTGAAGGACTACCACTGCTCTAATAGACGGTCCTTCAGCATTAAATGGACTCAGAGGGTTTAAAAACAGAGAACATGAAGTTGAGTGGGGATAGGGGTGATAATGGAAGAGAGGGAATAAGGAATAGATTTAATCAAAACATATCTGTATTGTTTGAAATTCTCAAACAATAAAAAAAAATCACAAAAAGGTACCTGCAACTAGATGACCCAGCCACATCTGTGATTCCAGGGGCACATGAGTGTCAGGGACAACCAAAGATGTGAGTGCGCACACACACACACACACACACACACACACACACACGCACACATGCACGCACACGCACACACACAGACACCTCTTCTAGAGAAGGAGGTCAACAGGCTGCCTGGGAAATAAGGAAGCTTTCTTATCTCAGCTCTTGATTTAAGGACGTGGCCAGGATTGTAGGGTGCAGACAGGCAAAGAAGAAGCCCAAGGTCCTTTCTGTTTCTGCTCTGAGGTAGACAACAAGTGCACACTTGGGGGGCACTAGCCCAGTCCTTCTTTTCTAAAAATGGTTAACCAGACATCAAGACACATGCACATGTGTAGGCCTAGCCTTCCAGAGGCTGGTGCAGAGGATCATGAATTTGAAGCCAGTCTGAGCTACATGAGACCCTGTCTCAAAGCACCTAGATTGTGACCAGGACTGTAGCTCTATTGGTAAAGTATTTTCCTAGCTCGTATGAGACTCTGGATTGGATCCCAGGACTACATAAACCAGGTGTGGTGGTGCATGCTGGGAATCCTAGCTCCTGGGAAACAGAGGCAGACAGATCAGAATTTCAAAGTATTCCTCAGGTAGATAGCAAGTTGGAGACTAGCTTGAGATATGTGAGACCCTATCTTAATTTTAAAAATTAAAAAATTAGCTGGACGTGGTGGCACATGCCTTTAATCCGAGAACTCAGGAGGCAGAGGCAGGAGGATTTCTAAGAGTCTAAGGCCAGCCTGGTCTACACAGTGTATTCCTGGACAGCAAGGTATACATAGTGAGTCTAAACAATGAGACTCTCTCTCTCTCTCTCTCTCTCTCTCTCTCTCTCTCTCTCTCTCTCTCTNTCTCTCTCTCTCTCTCTCTCTTTCTCTCTCTCTCTCTCTCTCTCTCACACACACACACACACACACACACACACACACACACACAGATATCCAGAGAGGCAAAGGCACTTGCCACCAAGCCTAATAACCTGAGTTTGACCTAAGGATCCACATAGTGGAGGGAAAGAACCAGCTCCTGCAAGTTGTCCTGTTTTCTCCACACAGGCACTGTCACACGCACATAAGTGTAAAAAAATGCACATAAAGTAAATAAATACATATACATGTATAACTAGTATAAATAGACAGACAGACAGACAGGTTACTTCACTTTCCTGGAGATCTCAGCTATGGGCTGGCCGCTCCCACATGGAACCAGCCTAAATTCCTTTTCCTTTTTCCACTGATCTTAGTAAAGGCTAAACTGATCTGGCTGATCTTTGTTGGTCTCCCGGCTGGACTAACGAAAACTTAAAAGAATTCTCCTAGCTACCAAATATCCAGACAGCACAGACGTAAATTGGACCTAGTGTCTCAGGGGCGTTTCAACCTGGCAGGGGAGGCAGAGAAGTTTTCCACACAAAAAGAGTATGTGCGTGAGCTGGGAGGGGTGTCCAGGAGAAAGAGAGGATTCTAGAAAGTTCTGGGAAGGAAAGAAGCAAATGAATAAGCAAATAAAAGTTAATAAGACAGTGGGTTCCTCAGTCTAGCCAGCCTTCAAGGTTATCTGTGACCTCCATCTGCCAAACCTTGACTCCGGGGTCAACTCTGAGTTGAAGTAGAGGCCAGTACAGTGGTTCAGGCAGAGAGCTCATCCTCCTTCACTTTCGCTCTTTAGGACAAGGGGCAGTGGTGTCAGGTAAGAACTGGGGCTCAGGGTTCCTTGACAAGTGTTTCCCAACACTGGGGGCCACTTTTCTCCCAGGATCAAAGGGCAGAGGCTGGGCCTGGCTCTGATAGCAGTCTCTGGAAAGAAAGCCAAGCCTCTCTCCTGGGCAGAGAGTGAACTCTGGAAGCTTGGAATTGTAGGACCTAGTAGAGGAGCAGGCAAAGCAGGGGGTAGGATCCTGGGTCCCCAGCCTGGCCCGGGACCTTGTTTTGACACCTGCTGAGACTCGGTGTTTTCTCAGAGGTGAAGCATCCAGTGGGGACGCTCCATGCTGAGAACTGGCCTTGAGCGACTGAATCCTCAAGTCTGTGCTTTCCAGGAGAGTGAGGAAGACACCAGAAACAGTTTCCTGACCCCTGGGCTGACGGTATTTGTCACTGGATCCTTAAGTTTTTCATTTCTACTTGGCAGATGAGAAACTGAATCCCATGAAGGACAGCCTTGGGCCCTTAGCTAGACTACACAGGGGAGAAAGGCAGGGAATCCACGTTGGAAGAGCTTCAGGGCTCAGAGCTCAACCTCACATCCCTGGTTAGGCAGAGGAAGGACATCAGAACGCATTCTTGACTATAAGTCCTTTCCCCCAAATGGAAGCCACCCTCTGCCTCCTACAGCCCCTAATCCTCTTGAGTCTTATAAAGGAAGCATTCCAGAGTGGAGATGAGGGGTCCTGGAACAGGGAGCTGGCACCCTTCATCTCTATTCCTCCACCCAACCCCAATAGTGCCAGGAATTCTTGCTTTGCCCAACCTCTCAAGAGCCACTGAAGAAATCAAAGGATACAGAATCAGTGGAGATTTCAACACGTGGGAGGGGGGTTGAGTAAAGAAGCAACATCTGGAAAACTGGAGCAAGGAAAATATGGCTAAGGGCAGTACCTTGGGCATGGGCAACAGGCACCCAGGCCCCAACAAAGCAGGCGAGCAGGCAGGCAAAGAGCCAGAGTTTCATGGTGCAGACTAGATCTCTTCTCCAGCTGCTGGAAGGTTGAGTGGGGCCACCTATGGAAGAGGAAGGGAAGGATAAGGACGCCAGTGTTTCAAGCCAGCCCCTGGAACTCTCTGAAAGAGAGGTGGGTGACAAAGGACACGCTCTAGTCAAAGGAGGACTCACCAGTGCCGGTGTGATCCGGAGAGCTTGCACCTGCTTCTAGGGTGTACTGCCCGTGTGGAATCAATGGACTGGCTTCATCCTTTATAGTCAGAGCCCCACCCTGCATGACCTGCCCCCTCGCTTCTCTCCCTCCCTCCCTCCCTCCCTTCCTCCCTCCCTCCTGCTGCTCCTCCCCCTCCCCACCTGTTCTGTGAGACTTCTGCTGGGCTTCTCCTTCCCACAGATAGACCAAGCCCTAATTTGCATCTGTCCCTCCGGGTTACCTGTTTCATGAACCTTGAGGTTGCCTCCACTTTATCCAGGCCTCTCAACCAGCATCTCCTCCCACTACCTTATTATATGGGGTCCAACATGTCCCCAGTCCGCTCCCTTAACAGCTTTTTATCACCATCCTCATAGATACCTTCCTTTATAATTAACTGGCTTTTAAATTGCTTTATTACTTCTAGCTTTTTTACTATTTTGTACATGGGCGGAGGCACACACATGCACCATGGCATACCTGTGGGGTCAGAGGGCAATGATCTGTTATCTCCTTTCATCATGTGGGTTCTAGGGATGGAACTCAGGTCGTCAGGCCTGGCGGCGGGTGCCTTTCCCCACTGAACCAAGGAGCTGAAATGCTTTTCTCTTGCTCTGTTTTAGCCTTAAATATACTCGCTCCTACATAAATATATATATACATATATATATATATATGTGTGTCTGTGTGTATACATACATACATACATGTGTGCATGCATGCATACAGAAAAGCTAAGGGGAGAGAGACCTGCACTGTTAGTCCCTCTAAGCCTGGCCACCTGAAGATATATTTTTCATTTCGTTCATTTTCCTGAAATTTCATAATTTCACTTTTAATGGTTGAATAAAATTACAGTTGATGGTGCACTTTTAAAATTTTTATTTATTTGGGAGTTGGGAGTGCGAGAACCACATGGAGACCTGGGGACAACTCTGGAGAGTCCGTGGGACCCAGGAAAGATATTAAGGCCATCAGGCTTAGTGGCAGGCACCTTCAGTCATCTTACCCGATGGGGCAGTGACACGTGAATTTCCCCCAGTATTACATAGGGAATCATCTCAACAAAACTAAAAGAAATGCTCTCATTTGGAGTGTGAAGCCAGGATCCAGGTAACGGCACGTCTTCTGTCTGCTGCAGCAAGCAAAACAAGCTTCATTCTTTTTTTCCTTTGGTTAACTTGACTCACTGGAGGATAAAGAAGTGTTTCAGAAGATCAGGTAGGGTGAGGGGAGGCGGCAGGAGGCCTGCCACAAGACCTCATAATTGATTGTTTTTTCCTTTTTATCTCCCTCCTCAGAGGCTGGCTACCCAATCCTCTCCCTGGCTATTTCTCACACTCTGAATCTCCGATTTCTCCGGCCCTATTTATTTATTTATTTATTTATTTATTTATTTATTTATTTTCTTCTGGGAGGTGCACTTTGTAATTAAAAATTTTAGGACAGAGAGCTCCGAGAGAAGCAAGATGGCGGACGTACTGGATCTTCACGAGGCCGGGGGCGAGGATTTCGCCATGGATGAGGATGGGGACGAGAGCATCCATAAACTAAAAGAAAAAGCGAAGAAACGGAAGGGCCGCGGCTTTGGCTCCGAGGGGTCCCGAGCGCGGATGCGAGAGGATTATGACAGCGTGGAGCAGGATGGCGATGAACCTGGACCCCAGCGCTCTGTTGAAGGCTGGATTCTCTTTGTCACCGGAGTCCACGAAGAAGCCACCGAGGAAGATATCCATGACAAATTCGCTGAGTATGGGGAGATAAAAAACATCCACCTTAACTTGGATAGGCGCACCGGATACTTGAAGGGATATACTCTAGTTGAGTATGAAACATACAAAGAAGCTCAGGCTGCCATGGAGGGACTCAATGGTCAAGATTTGATGGGACAGCCAATCAGTGTTGACTGGTGTTTTGTTCGGGGTCCACCAAAGGGCAAGAGGAGAGGTGGCCACAATGGGCTCAACTCACCTATAAAAAGGCACAGGCTAATCAATCAGAAGAGACGGAGAGGGACATTTTATACTCATAACAGGATCAATTCATCAAGAGGAAGTCTCAATCCTGAATATCTACGCCCCTAATATAAAAGCACCCACATACGTAAAAGAAACATTACTAAAACTCAAGGCAGCCATCAAACCGCACACACTAATAGTGGGAGACTTCAACACTCCTCTCTCACCAATGGACAGGTCAATCAGACAGAAACCTAACAGAGAACTAAGAGAATTAATGGAGGTAATGAATCAATTGGACTTGACAGACATCTATAGAATATTCCACCCAAATCGGAAAGAA